TTCTAGCGGGAAAATAACCTGACCTCAAAAGTCTTAGAAAATCGTCCAGCATTCCACAGTATGTTTGACGCGACTGTGGTTGCTTCTCGAAGCAACGTCGACGAATGGGTGCAGGTTGTAAGGAAGAAATAACATAACGATATAAAAGGGAATCCTGCCCCCATAAAAGTAGTCGAGAAATCGAAGGCTGATAACAATGACAGATCAGTTATTTTTCATAGAATCATAGAGAGTGAAAGCTCCAAACCGAGAACTTATTTTGAAAATGACATTGTGTTGATAAAACAGCTACTTAATCAACTTATACTTCAAAATATCTCCGGAGTCACCTTGGTATAGGCTTATAGACTAGGTAGTCTAGCGAACTTGAAGCCAAATCAATACAAACTACTTAAAGTAGTATTCAACTCTTCGAATGAACGTGACCTAATTTTACAGAATGGACACAAATTAAAGGGTTCGGGAGTTTTTATTCTTAAGGACTTGCCGTCGGTAGACCGCGTAATAAGACGGGAAGCCGAAAAAGAACTACAACTTAGGTAAGACGCTGGCGAAAAGGACCTGAAAATTTTAAATTTTCGGGTTGTAAGGCTTCGACAGAAAATGATGCCGAAGCCACTTAAATTGGCTTCGGATCTGCTACACTACTGCCTGAAGCTTACTCAATAAGCAATCGGAACTAGGTGTACAGATTGACTCTACAAAGCCAGACATAATCGCAGTAACAGAAACCTGGCTGACACAGTTTGTAGATAGTGTGGAACTTGATTTCAGAGGTTTTACGTTAGTAAGGGCCGACAGAACACAAAAGCGTAAAGGAGGCGGAGTAGCTCTATTCATTAGGAATGCTATCCCATTTGCCATTATCGTTAGTGTATCCCATGAGAGTGGGACGTGTGAACTAGTTAGTCTCCGCTTGAAATGCAAGGGACAAGAGCTGCTGATTGGTTTGGTCTATCGCAGTTCAAGCTGTGAGGCAAATGAGATCCTGTTAAGCAGTCTCAATACTTGGTCACAAAGCGGTCGTTGTCTAATCCTAGGGGACTTTAAAGCACCTATGGTAGACTGGGAAAATCTGATAAATGAATCGTCAAATAATTCCTTCGAGCAGGAACTAGTTGATGCGGTTATCACATGTGCCCTAGTGCAACATGTGAAAGAAGCGACTAGGTACGAACGAACTCTGAATCATCCTCACTAGATCTTATACTGACTCACTATGAGGATGACGTTGCGAACCTTCATTACATGTCACTCCTAAGTAAAAGTGATCACGCAGTTTTAACTTTAGACTTCCATATAACTGTCAGTCACGAGCACGCATCAGTCCAATCCAGACCTAACGTCTGGAAAGCGAACATACCAGACATCATGCACTCAGCATTGTTAGTAGATTGGACAATAGACCCAGAGTCCTCGATTGAAACGGCTTGGGACGCATTTCGAAGTTCATACTTAAAGGTTACCACACCCCACATCCCTTAGACTATACCAAGGGGGCCGAGAAACTCCCCACAATGGTTCAGTAGGGAGGTCCGCATCCTTCTCCGTAAGAGAAGAAAAATGTGAGATAATTTTGGGTTAATGGGGACTGGTGAGACAAAATCTCAGTATCGAAAAGCTCGGAATACCTGTGCCTCAACCCCCCGTAAGTCTAGAAGATTATACGGAGAGAAAATTGTCGAGAAACCCATAGAATGTCCCAAAAGTTTGTATTCTTATATAAACCAAAGAACAAAGAGAAGAGGAAATATTCCTGCTCTATGGGGAGACAGTACTGCCGCACCATTAGTGGAGGACGACTTTGGCAAGGCTCAAGTGTTCTCGAAATACTTTAGCAATGTATATACCATAAAAGCACCCTTCCCGTCATCGCATACAAATCCCCCCACACATACACTGGATAGCGTGGCCTTCAAAGAACTCGATGTCTTTGATCTGCTAAATAAACTTGACATAGGTTAATCCATGGGGCTCAATGAATTGCATTCTAGGCTACTAGAGGAATTAGCTAACTTCGTTGCAAGCCCTTTAAGTATATGCTTTAACCTATCCGTTATGCAGGGTCGTTTACCAAAAGACTAGAAGAACGCCATAGTAAGTCTTGTCTTCAAAACAGGTACGAAACATAAACCTGAGAGTTACTGACCCGTTAGCCTAACTAGTGTGGTTGTTAAAATATTAGAAAAGATTATTTGGAAGGAGCTGTTTAAGTACCTCGATGAATGCCGAATCCTTTCGGAGAAGCAGCACGGTTTCAGGATAGGTTATTCTTGTCTCACTAGCTTATTAATTGCTTGCGAAAGCTGGTGCGCTCTTAAGGACCAAAAGTTACATGTAGACGTAGTCTACATTGACTTCAGCAACGCTTTTGACAATGTTCCACACAACCGGCTGTTATACAAGCTGAGAGATGTAATTGCGGACAATCTGCTGATATGGATAAAAGACTTCCTAGTTGTGTGCCAACAAAGAGTACGATTGGACTCAAAATTGTCTAGCTGGGAAACTGTGCTTAGTGGAGTGCCCCAGGGTACAGTTTTGGGGCCAGTGTTATTCCTCTTGTACGTAAATGACCTTCCTCGTCTCCTATCATCATCGGTCTTGCTATATGCTGACGATGTCATGATATGGAGAACGATACGATGTAAGGGTGATAGCTCAGAACTCCTAAATGACCTGAAGAAATTATCTGAATGATCTCGAACCTGGCAGTTATCGATAAATACTTCCAAGTGTGTTGTGATGCATATCGGTCATCAAGGTACAGATACATACACGATGAATAACACTGAGCTACCTGTCGTCCAGACATATAATGACTTAGGAGTCATCGTCAGCCAAGACTTAAAGACTACTGCACACTGTCGTGCAAAAGCCGCCAAAGGTTTCAGAACGTTATGGTCAATACGTAGGGCTTTCAAACATGTCGACGCTAAAACGTTTTTGACTTCGTATGCAGTGTTTGTACGCCCTAAACTTGAGTACTGCATACAAGCGTTTATTTCCCGCTTAAAAAAGACAGTGAACTTTTGGAAATGTTCGGTAAACAGCAACCAAGCTGATTCCCGCAATAGCAAAGTTTCCTTATGTTGCTCGACTGGCCAAGCTAAACCGATTCCCGTTGTCATATCGCAGAACTAGAGGCGACTCGATTACAGTTTTCAAATCGCTCAGTGCCAAATTTGCACCTGATATGCCCTCATTTTTCTTGTCTTCCAAAACAGAGAATTTATGAGGACACTCCAAAACATTCACCAGCTCAGAACAAATTACTTGTCAGCCGACTATTGACTTTCCCATCAAATCATCAACGAGTGGAATTCATTACCTCAGCACGTGTTTGAGGCTCCATCTGTCTACTCTATCAAAAAAAGTTGGATCAACTGAGAGACCACCATTGCCAGGACTAACACAGGCCATCAAGCCTCCTGTCCTTTTCAAAATGAAAATGGATGATGTCAACCTTCCACTTGCGACCAATCCTAAAATTGTAGATTTTTCATGTTGTGACTGCCTAATCTATAAGTTCTTACGAGGAAGTCACATCACTCTCTACACTGACTTGTCGGATCGCAACAATTACCAATATATAACGGAGAACACATTCATTCTGGAGATAGAAAAATACATTTAGTATGTGTTATGGATGCTGAGGGAAAATATACCAATAATTATCGTGTTAAGTCGAATGGTGTCCTTGAACGTTAAACGAACATTTCCCATTGGTCGATGTTTGTTTCACTTGTTAAATATTGTGTAAATGTTGTTTCCTATTCTATGGTACGATGTGGTTTGTTTGGTTAGTTTATAAATAGAGTATGTCTGAAATACAATGATTCATAACTCAGAGGCTGTGACTTGTGTTCTTGACTCAACTGGCTAGGACAGACAGCGGAGCAGGTCCAATCAGGGCACTAGGTCGTCCACTACGTGTTTGCGTGTCCACTGTAATCGGTCGATAAATACGCTGCTTATCAAAACCTGCAGTCCACCCGTTACAACAGTATGAGTAAAAGCAAGTCATACAGAGGGACCACGCCTGTGAGGCTGAGCCATGCCACTCAATTAGATTCAATCGACTTTTTTCTTCTCGCCTTCTCCGTCGTTTTGATTTTCCCCGCGTCAAATGTTTAATATCTATTTTCCCAGTTGCCTCGTGTTCAACTTTGAGGATTGTGTGGTTAGGACCTGTACCACAACACAACTCTCCCACCAGAATCAACGTGACGTTAATTCGATAACAAATTTAGTGGGATTGTCGCGCCTCGGAGGTTACCAGAAGAATGATAATAATCCTCCCGGTGCTGACAAGCTGAAAGATAAATCAGAAAGAGGGCGGCAGCAACTGGCCGAGAAAAATTTCATAGAGTATTTTCGAAATGTTTGCTTTTATTCTAAAAACGCGAAAAATAGAAATCCACATGAAGATTAATAGTTCAATAAAGTGGGATTACGACAATTAAGAATGATTCCAAGTAGAGATATTTTATTAAGTCGTTGTAAGGTGTAGTAATAGTTGTTGATTAATAGTTTAACCTATAAGTAGTACAAGTATTTTGTGTTTATAAATATCAATATCGAATCAGTGCTGATTTCGGTATAATTTTTAGTTTAAATCAGAGAGTCAATTAAGGTCATTGTCGGTGTGCACTCCGTATGGGTTGATTTCCAATTTCATCTGGATTAGTTGGCTAACATTGACGTGAAAAACTGGGAAACCGAATAGTAAGCTGAGGCAAAACCACAGCCGACCAATAATTCTGGTAAAACTAAAAAAGAAGATTAATCTACCGAACATTAAGTTCAATACAGATCATTTGGATCAGTCGCGTAACGTAGTTACGGTTCAATATATGCAAGCTTTTTGAAATCAGTGATCAATCCTCTATAAATCTTCAGCATGTGATCAATTTTAATTGCAAATCTAAAGTATCGTGCATTGTTTAGGGCTGGTTTTAAGATATACAGACATTGAAGTTCTCATTTTTGTTTGCACGACCTATTTCACATGGCCTACAAATTATGAGCTCACCTCGAATGTGTGTGTACAGTGGGGTATTCAAACATGTTAGGTTTCATCGCCACAGTGTTTGTGGCTTACTCTTTCACTTCATATTTTCTGCTGAGGAGACCGATCGTATTTTTCAGAAAAAAGCGGCTTCCTTTCGAAGCTTCTCATATTAGTCACCGGGGTGGTTCAGGAGAACAGATTGAAAATACTTTAGAGGCTTTCAGTAGGTATGAATGAGCATTTGTCATAATTATACATTGATCACACCTAGCTCTTTGCTTGTCGGCACAAATATGTTCGAGACTGATTGTCATATCACGAAAGATAATCAGGTTGTCGTATTTCATGATAATACGCTAGATCGTTCTACTGGAGTGTCGGGTTTAGTGAAGGAATTTTCATACAAAGATTTACCTAGATACCTTAGAGTAATTGAAGTTCAATTCACCCCAGGTATAAAGTCATTTTTTAGCTGTGTCGTTTTTTTATATTTTTAACTGATATCAATCCAGCCTTTTTATTGTTAGATTAATATCAGTATTCTTTAGTGTATTATTTTTTATTTATTTATTATTATTATAAGCTTTATTCAATATTATATTTTCGGTACAATATAGAATTCTCCGCACAAAGTATTTCAACAAGTTTCTGTTTCTTCTTGGTCGATCCTGACGATAAATATCGAGTGGTAGCCAGTTAGATGTTAGCAGTCCAGTAAATAAACATCTGAATAATGTATATTCTTTTCTCTGCATATTGCCAGCGACCACATTATCTCTTATTGAGCTTTTTGTAACTTTGACAACGAAAGGTTGTAAACTTTTCAGAAATGCACTAGGATGGGTTATGCGAATAATATACATAATGATATATTAAAACAAACAAAAATAGATAACTTGTTGAAATATTTAGATGACAGGAACAGGCAGCCCAGATGCTCAAGCAGGCCGCCCAATTGTGACGAGTGAACAAACTAGATTGTTGTTCTCTCAAGATAACTTTATAACCATTCAGGATCTTTCAACTACTTGCTTCTCTATAAGTCGAAGGCGTTTTACGTGCTGGAAATGAGTAAAAGTCCTGGGGATCCCTTAGGAGTATAAGAAGCTATATACCATGTTTAAGCGGTTCATTTCTTCCATGAGTTCACAATAGTTTCTGCAGTTGAGTGCTTTTAACGTGCTTAAACATCAGTATGTATATAGTTTGATTAAAAGTAGGAGGGTATTACTGATTTGATCTCACTTGATAGTTATAAGATGTAGTTGCGGACTTGTGTGGTATAAAAATAAGAACTCATAAATGACTGTGTAATATCCACATGTTGTGACCTGTTTGCACCTTTAATTAATGCCGAAAAGCTTCTGTGCTTTCTGTCACAACATATTCTATTTCAATACGGTGCATGGATTTCGAAAATCGGCAAGGTATTCCGGTCATTTTTATTAATAGAATTCCTAAATACCTACCCATTTGTTTTCTGTCACTCTTATTTTATTTAATTATTTGAACAGATAAATATTAGTACAAGAGGGCACCAAATATGTGTGCCCCACATATCTCATTTGATATGTGTGAGGGCTGTAATACTGCTCGGGTGCCCAGATCGAAGTAGGTGATTTTCTTAGGGGGCCACACCCCCAGCCTTTGACCTGAAGGTATAACCCACAAGGCAGTGGAGCATCGTGAGAAGATGCAGTCCCATGTTAGCCGGTGGCCAAGAAATTGGTTCATACGCCATTTTTTCCCACAGGATACTGGGCCCCATGTGCACCATTGGTTTCGGATCTGGTTAAAGCGCCGGACATTCGCTGAAACACACAGGATCCCAGTGTGGTCATTCACTTGACCTCACCTCGGCAAAACGGAGAGCCGACGAGATACACCCTCCGTGTATCTGGTGACCCGACGGCCAGCTCTCGTGGACTGGCAGGAGTAGGGATAGCACTAAGCATGAGGGCGGAACAAGCACTGTCAGAGTGTACCCCCGTTAACAGTCGTTTATGTGCTGTTCGGCTAAACGGATCCGTAAGAACTCGGAAGGATAGGGACACACGTCGTTGCCTTTTTATCGTTTATGCCTACGCTCCCACCGACTGTAGCTCAGATGAAGTGAAAGATGAATTTTCCAGAAAGCTAAACGTCCAGACATAGTACTCGTAGCAGGTGACTTTAATGCCCAGATAGGTACTTTCAACCAAACAGAAAGGCATTTAGGTGGGTATTTTGGTGTTCCGGGTTAGCGAGTAGATAATGGTAATCGTCTGCTGCAACTGTGCTCAGACAATCGTTTATTTTTAGCAAACACAAATTTTAAGCATAAGGAGAGACATCGTCTAACATAGTGACCCCCTGCACCAAGCCAGCGATGAACTCAAATAGACCATATTGCCATCAGTTATCGTTGTAGAGGGTCGATAGGAGATGATCGCTCATTCTGGAACGCCTGCTTGGACTCCGACCATGCTCTAATACGGGCACGCATCTGCTTGTGCCTCACTGGACGCAAAAAAGCCACAGTAAAAGACTCATTAGAACTGGATTGAGTAGCGAGAAAACCAAAAGTAAGTTCCAGGAACAACTGAGGTCACAATTAGGTAGTTCTGAAAACGAGGTTGACCCAGATGTTGCTTGGAAAGCTATACAAACTGCTGTGGAAACAGCAGTGACATCTATCAGTGATTTAAACCACAGGGTTACAAAGAACCAATGGATTTCCTCTAGGTCTATTGCACTGATGGATTCTCGTAAACTCATCTCATCAGGCTCTGAACACTATGAAGAGTGACAACAAATCAGATCTAGGTTAAGCAAAAGTCTAAGGAACGACCGTGAGCAGTGGTGGGCAACGAAAGCAAAATAGATGGAAAAGGCGGCGGCTACAGGGAACACAAGACAGCTCTACAGACTAATAAAAGAAACTGGAATTAATAAATCAAGTGTAAGTCAGACTATTTCGGAAAAGACGACACCCTCATCTACTCTCGGTCCAGACGTTTAGAACGATGGGCGGAACATTTCAGAAAACAGTTCAGTTGGCCTTCAGCTACTCTACAACTACCCTCCATTCCCAGACAGTGTAAATGGAACATTGAAGTAAGTCCCCCAACTCTAGCAGAAGTTCAAAAGACTTTAGTTAATCTGAAACGAGGAAGAGTAGCTGGTTCAGATGGATTGGCTCCAGAGGTCTTTAAGGATGGTGGTCCAATTTTAGCGATTCGGTTGACTAGTATTTTAGTTAAAACCTGAGAACTGGATATAATCCCATCTGAACGTTCGCGATCAGTGATCGTCCCAATATATAAGAAAGGATCGAAATCATCCTGTAATAACCATAGAGAGATTAGTTTGACCAATATAGCATCTAAAATGCTGGCCTCAATAAGTATCGGACGCCTAACTAAGACTCGTGAACTGCAAACACGAGAAAACCAGGCTAGCTTCAGACCTGGTCGTGACTGCATCGACCAAATATTCATCATTCGTCAGGTTCTAGAACACAGGCATGCTTATCGGCGTCCGACAATGGTGGTCTTTCTTGACTTAAAAGCAGCATTTGACCCTGTAGACCAAGAGATTCTGTAGCAGTATCTGTCATTGAAAAGTGCACCACAGAAATACATAAACATTATGAAGGCTCTTTACTCGAACACTACTAATCGAGTCAGAGGTTATGGCGAACTGTCATCTGATTTTGCAACCTCAAGTGGTGTCCGTCAAGGCTGTCCACTTTCTCCATTTTTGTTTAACTTCACCATAAACATGCTGATGGAAATAACGCTGGTGTACTGAATTTTCGGGCATTGATCTCCTACCGGGGGGGTCCACTTATCGACTTAGAATACTCAGATGACATAGTCCTACTTGTTGAAGACGCTGATAAAATGCAGAGTCTTTTGGTAGCACTGAGCAACAATGCCAGAATGTTTGGAATGCGGTTCTCTCCCTCTAAATGCAAGTTGTTGCTTCAGGACTGGTCTGCGTCAACACCTGAACTAAGGATAGGGAGTGAAGTAGTCGAACGCGTTGACAACTTCACTTATCTTGGAAGTCTGATCAGCCCTAATGGGTTGGTGTCTGACGAAATCTCAGCACGGATTCAAATGCGCATTTGGCTTTTGCCAACTTACGTCACCTATAGCAAAGGCGAGATATCCGTCTATCAATAAAAGGACGAGTATACTGCGCGGCAGTCCGTTCTGTTTTAATTTACGGCAGCGAAACATGGCCATTAAGATTAGAAGACACTCGTAAGCTACTAGTATTTGACCACAGATGCCTCAGAAATATTGCTGGCATCTGCTGGGATCACCGGGTAAGTAATAGTGAGGTTAGACGCAGGGTATTAAGGAATGATGGTAAAGCAGTCGATGAGGTTGTGAATCTTCATCGACTGAGATGGTTGGGCCACGTGTTACGTATGCCCAAACACCGATTACCACGACGTGCAATGCTAACCGGTGTTCGGGATGGTTGGAAGAAAGTTAGGGGCGGCCAAACCAAAACGTGGCATCAGTGCTTGAAGTCACTAACTTCTAGTCTGAGCCATGTTAGTAGATGCAGACTACTTGGTTTGGGTCCGCGTGACTATCGTAACCAATGGTTGGAGACTGTGGGTGACATGACTCAAAGTCGATCACAATGGCGTCGGTGTATACACTCTCTGTCTTCCCTTAAACTAAGAGATTAAAATCGCTTCATATCTTTCTTTGTACGAACTAATTCTTTCTTCCTGTACTGTATTCCTTATACACAATCTTTCTTTTATATATTATAACCATTGAATTAACTACTTTTATGAATCCGGTGTTCATCTTGTTGTGTTAATGAGGTATGGCAACTTGGACCGATGCATATATGTGCCTGGTCCTACGTTGTAGCTGACTGACTGACTGACATTCGCTTTTCGTTCTCTCATTTTCGTAAACAACACCCCCGCCACGAGAAGACAGTGAATAAAACTTCCCTGGCAGAGGCTGTATACGCGTGGCCGTGTGAGAGCATTTCGAGAGGGAGGGAGAGCCCATATTGTTATCTCTTTATATGCGTGTCCCACACTATTTTCGAGATCCGATTGTATCAATGTTTAATAACCTTAAACACATATAAAAACAACATTCCTGACTATCAAAAGTAGTAATAAGGCTTTTTTAATTGAGGTATGTTGCATAACAGATTTTCACCAATAGATTCTTATCATACAACTTTAAATTTGCATGAACTTGAACTAGTCGTTATCATGTCTTCGGTTTTTTGTTGACCTCTATTCTGTGCATTGGTTAACATCTGAATTTCCTACATCAATAATCATTTAACTAACTGTGATTTCTTATCTCTACCCCAGTCAGGTTCCTTTTGTATTGCGGAGTCTCCCTCCTCATATAAAATTCCACGATTAGAGGACTTGTTTAATAAGTTTCCAAATACCCCCATCAATATTGATATTAAAGTTAATGACAATCTTCTCATCAATGAGGTTAGTTTGTGACTTTATATTTATTTATGTGTACTCCTTTGACCCCAGTTTTTATCTTTTCTTTATGTATAGCTTCACTTTGTATGACTGTTGTATATTTTGCCGATATCCAACGTTCTTAATACAATTAAGAACTGACCCACCTAACGAGGCGGAATTCTGCAAGGAACTCACAAGGCGTCACAAATTGCCATGCCCAGTTGACTTACCTCCGGCCTCTTTTTACGATTGCAGCGATCTTCTGGTTAAGGAACTGACTGAGTTGTTTACAAATGTCTAGCAATTAGAGTGCATCTATGTCGTGGATTGAGTCGATAGCTGTCCTTGTATTTAGGAAGGGTTCACGTTGTTTCTGCGACAACCATCGGTGTATAAATCTGCTTCCCATCGCGTCTCGATCATTGCTGCCACCTTGACGTAGTGGTCGGGCTTGCCTAACTTGATGAATCAAACGAACTGTACTGTCTGGAACATTCATTCCTCAAGGTTCTACCATGCCAGACAGGTCGGTTGAACAGCAGTAAGACTCAAAGCAGTAAACTCAAAGTTCGAGGGTGAAGTCGTACTGCTGACTGTACAGAAGTATGATGGCAGTAAGGTGTTTCCTTCAGAAAACCGGCATAACAGCGATACTGCCTTCCCACAAGGAGGGGTAGGGTTACAAAAGGTCGACCCTAAAAATGCACACCTCCCCTTACCCCACGGATATCCGTCTCCGGCGGCGAAGTTCCAACAAGTATAAGGTTGATTCGAAAATTACTCACAAGAGGTCGTGTGTGACCGGCCTCAAGCAGTTGTTTCTTGGGAACTGCGGTCACACTCTCAGGTCACTAAGACCACCTCTAATCCACTTTCCTTTTCAGGTACTTCCAGATGAACCCTTCCACCGTGTGTGCAACTGGGAAGTGATAACCGCCCTCATAACTCTATCAGCACTCAAGACTACAGTATCCATTATCAATTTCCCTCTTCGATTCCCATTATTCCTCCTACCTTGACTTTGAACTCTAAACTTCCTCTTTTGGCTTCCTTCTCGAGTGTCACCATAGCCAACGATTCTAGTGCGCAAAACACTGTCCCAGGTTTAATGAAACCTCGCTCCAAACTACACATTGGAGCTTTCAACGTACGCACATTATGTCAAATCGGTCAACAGGCTTCCTTGACTAAAACCCTAGGATCCCGTACCATTGATGCATGTTGTGTTTCCGAAACACACACACAGGATCCTATTGTGGTCATTCACTTGACCTCATCTCGTCAAAACGGAGAGCCAACGAAATACATCCTGCGTGTATCTGGCGACCCGATGACTAGTTCTATTAGACTTGTAGGTGTAAGCATAGCACTAAGTACGAGGGCAGAACAAGCACTATTAGAGTGGATCCCCGTTAACAGTCGTCTATGTGCTGTTAGGCTAAACGGCTCTGTAAAATCTCAGAAGGACAGAGACACACATCGTTGCTTTTCGTCCTTCCTGCCTACGTTCCCACTTGATTGCAGCCCGGATGAATTGAAAGATGAGTTTTACAGTAAGCTTTCTGAAATTCTTCGGAAAGCTAAACACTCAGGCTTAGTACTTTTAGTAGGTGACTTTTGTGTCCAAGTAGGTAGCTTGAACAAATCAGAAAGATATTTAGGCGGATATTTTGGTGTTCCGGGTTAGCGAGTAGATAATGGTAATCGTCTGCTGCAACTGTGCTCAGACAATCGTTTATTTTTAGCAAACACAAATTTTAAGCATAAGGAGAGACATCGTCTAACATAGTGACCCCCTGCACCAAGCCAGCGATGAACTCAAATAGACCATATTGCCATCAGTTATCGTTGTAGAGGGTCGATAGGAGATGATCGCTCATTCTGGAACGCCTGCTTGGACTCCGACCATGCTCTAATACGGGCACGCATCTGCTTGTGCCTCACTGGACGCAAAAAAGCCACAGTAAAAGACTCATTAGAACTGGATTGAGTAGCGAGAAAACCAAAAGTAAGTTCCAGGAACAACTGAGGTCACAATTAGGTAGTTCTGAAAACGAGGTTGACCCAGATGTTGCTTGGAAAGCTATACAAACTGCTGTGGAAACAGCAGTGACATCTATCAGTGATTTAAACCACAGGGTTACAAAGAACCAATGGATTTCCTCTAGGTCTATTGCACTGATGGATTCTCGTAAACTCATCTCATCAGGCTCTGAACACTATGAAGAGTGACAACAAATCAGATCTAGGTTAAGCAAAAGTCTAAGGAACGACCGTGAGCAGTGGTGGGCAACGAAAGCAAAATAGATGGAAAAGGCGGCGGCTACAGGGAACACAAGACAGCTCTACAGACTAATAAAAGAAACTGGAATTAATAAATCAAGTGTAAGTCAGACTATTTCGGAAAAGACGACACCCTCATCTACTCTCGGTCCAGACGTTTAGAACGATGGGCGGAACATTTCAGAAAACAGTTCAGTTGGCCTTCAGCTACTCTACAACTACCCTCCATTCCCAGACAGTGTAAATGGAACATTGAAGTAAGTCCCCCAACTCTAGCAGAAGTTCAAAAGACTTTAGTTAATCTGAAACGAGGAAGAGTAGCTGGTTCAGATGGATTGGCTCCAGAGGTCTTTAAGGATGGTGGTCCAATTTTAGCGATTCGGTTGACTAGTATTTTAGTTAAAACCTGAGAACTGGATATAATCCCATCTGAACGTTCGCGATCAGTGATCGTCCCAATATATAAGAAAGGATCGAAATCATCCTGTAATAACCATAGAGAGATTAGTTTGACCAATATAGCATCTAAAATGCTGGCCTCAATAAGTATCGGACGCCTAACTAAGACTCGTGAACTGCAAACACGAGAAAACCAGGCTAGCTTCAGACCTGGTCGTGACTGCATCGACCAAATATTCATCATTCGTCAGGTTCTAGAACACAGGCATGCTTATCGGCGTCCGACAATGGTGGTCTTTCTTGACTTAAAAGCAGCATTTGACCCTGTAGACCAAGAGATTCTGTAGCAGTATCTGTCATTGAAAAGTGCACCACAGAAATACATAAACATTATGAAGGCTCTTTACTCGAACACTACTAATCGAGTCAGAGGTTATGGCGAACTGTCATCTGATTTTGCAACCTCAAGTGGTGTCCGTCAAGGCTGTCCACTTTCTCCATTTTTGTTTAACTTCACCATAAACATGCTGATGGAAATAACGCTGGTGTACTGAATTTTCGGGCATTGATCTCCTACCGGGGGGGTCCACTTATCGACTTAGAATACTCAGATGACATAGTCCTACTTGTTGAAGACGCTGATAAAATGCAGAGTCTTTTGGTAGCACTGAGCAACAATGCCAGAATGTTTGGAATGCGGTTCTCTCCCTCTAAATGCAAGTTGTTGCTTCAGGACTGGTCTGCGTCAACACCTGAACTAAGGATAGGGAGTGAAGTAGTCGAACGCGTTGACAACTTCACTTATGTTGGAAGTCTGATCAGCCCTAATGGGTTGGTGTCTGACGAAATCTCAGCACGGGTTCAAATGCGCATTTGGCTTTTGCCAACTTACGTCACGTATAGCAAAGGCGAGATATCCGTCTATCAATAAAAGGACGAGTATACTGCGCGGCAGTCCGTTCTGTTTTAATTTACGGCAGCGAAACATGGCCATTAAGATTAGAAGACACTCGTAAGCTACTAGTATTTGACCACAGGTGCCTCAGAAATATTGCTGGCATCTGCTGGGATCACCGGGTAAGTAATAGTGAGGTTAGACGCAGGGTATTAAGGAATGATGGTAAAGCAGTCGATGAGGTTGTGAATCTTCATCGACTGAGATGGTTGGGCCACGTGTTACGTATGCCCAAACACCGATTACCACGACGTGCAATGCTAACCGGTGTTCGGGATGGTTGGAAGAAAGTTAGGGGCGGCCAAACCAAAACGTGGCATCAGTGCTTGAAGTCACTAACTTCTAGTCTGAGCCATGTTAGTAGATGCAGACTACTTGGTTTGGGTCCGCGTGACTATCGTAACCAATGGTTGGAGACTGTGGGTGACATGACTCAAAGTCGATCACAATGGCGTCGGTGTATACACTCTCTGTCTTCCCTTAAACTAAGAGATTAAAATCGCTTCATATCTTTCTTTGTACGAACTAATTCTTTCTTCCTGTACTGTATTCCTTATACACAATCTTTCTTTTATATATTATAACCATTGAATTAACTACTTTTATGAATCCGGTGTTCATCTTGTTGTGTTAATGAGGTATGGCAACTTGGACCGATGCATATATGTGCCTGGTCCTACGTTGTAGCTGACTGACTGGATGTTGTTATAAAATTCGTGTTTTTGATGCTGTACGTTAGCTGTCAGTCATAAATTATGAATTTAAACTTTACGTACTTTTGTCTTAACAGTTAGTTATTTATTGTCATTCTTTATCACAAGAATGAAAAATCAGTTGGCAATATTTTTACAATGCTCCTATAACATAATTGTACGGAAATAGTGTTTTGTCGTAGAATCATTTCCAAATTGCTGTTTCTTTTTTTAAATAATGTAACCATTTAGTTATGAGGCGTAGCAATTTATACAATAATTGATTTCCCAACATTAATATTTAAAACTTCTGATTATGATGACAGATCAAATAGTAACAGCCGTGTTGGGCTGTTAATGTGATCCTGCTGAGTATTCAGAGGGAAAAACAGTTTTCGAAGAGGTAACTGGGTTTTTTCTGTCTGTTTGATCAGCTTAATTTTGTAACTAGATATCCGTTAGTTCTATCTGTAGGACAAAATGATGTATGGCAGCCATAAAATAACACTTCTAAAGTTGATGAAAATTGATGCACCAATTTGTTTTCTTAGGGTTTCATTCACTTTATTTTACAAAAGTATATGGTTAGTGAAGTCTTGGTATAAAATTAATATTCACACTTTTAATGCAAAAAAGCTTATGTATAATTTATTTAACTGTCAATATTAGTCTACAATCCTTGACAAATTACTGTAATTTATGATACTTCAGTTTTTTCACCAATTCTATTTGACCTTATACTAATAGAAGTATATTTTAGTTAACAAGGTAATATTTTAACTAATTTACTATGAAAGTAAATTTTTCTATTCATCTTACATTCACATCAAAGTGCAATCATCCTCCGCATAATGGCTAATAATTTTGTGTTTATACTCATACTTCTTATAAGTGAGAAATTCTTCAAAGTGAATGACAAGCGAATCTCTTCCCTTCAAAAAAAGTCATACAATAATTAAGTTTGTTATGGGATAATCAGACTTTTTGTAGGTCAACATTTCTATTCAATTTTCTAATTAGTATAAAATAGTGCATTACTACTACTACCACTACTGTCATGTTAGTTTTTATGTTTTATCTCTATAGCAGAAGCATTCTCATAATTTATAATATTATTTAGTCGTTTATACATTTCTCAAAATCCTAGCTACTGAATGGTTAAATGAGTAACCAGTAGGTAGACTAGTCAGTATAATTTATCCAATATTTCATTTCGCTTACTTAACTTTTCATACATAAGATATATTTTGTCGGACATTCTTTGTATAACTGTAAATCTGGGCTTTGTAGTAACAGTATGTAGTTTGACGACAGTATATCTAAATAATATGCATCACAAATGCCATTTGGAACCTGATAAAAGTTGGGATAAGAAGGCGAGGTCACATTATCTCTAACTCGATGTAATATTTTATGACGCTAGTTCAGTCCCAATGATATTTTGAAATTGGTCTTATTTTCATTGTAGCATTTAGTCAGAACAGTATTAGGGTTTATATTCCCCAGTGCAACATTCTTTCAGGTCAGTATATTCATTATCAGTTAAGTGCGAGTTTCATTCAATATGAATGGTGTGAACTTTCGTCCTATGAATTTGATATTCATCTCGTTGTGTTAACGTGGTAAGAGAACCTGGACCGATGAATATGTGTGCGTAGTCCTTAGTTGTAAATGACTGACTGATTATGTCCAAGCTATTGGCTTCCTTCATATTTCTATATTATTCAAAACCTGAGAAAGTTTGGTTCGCGAGTTACAGGCCAATTTTCGTTCTAGTCGAGGATGTATTAACTATAACTTCACACTCCAGCAAATTTTAGAACACCGTTATATTTATTGCAGGTCAACCATCGTAGTTTATTGATATTAGGGCCGCCTTCGATTGGTTGAACAGGACTGTTCTCTGGGATCGTCTATTGAAGAAGGGTGTGGTGGGAAGTTTATCAACATCTTGAGAGCCCTATATACAAACACTTCAGTCAGATTGAGGACATGCAACCACCTATCTCCATCGTTCCATTCAAGCAGTGGGGGCAGGCAGGGTTGTCGAATCTCACCATTCCTCTTCAACTTTGCTATCGATGATTTTCTGGAAACAGCTCTGATGGATGTAGGTAGTGGTAGTGTGGATCTGTTGCCTGACGAAAAACTTCAATTTTGAGTAGGTGAATGACATTGTCTTACTGTGCGATGATACCTTAGCCATGCAATCCATACTTAATCACTTGGCAGTCAGTGTCCGTAGGTATGGCATGTGCTTCGTACCTTCTAAGTACAAGTACTTCTACAAGACTGGCAGAATTCTAATCCTGCACTCACTCTGGATGGTGAACAGATAGAAGTAGTCGGGAAGTTCGTGCATCTGGGTAGCTGCGTGAGTGATGAGATCAACTCATATAGTTAAAGCCAGAGCGGCTTATGCCAATTTGGGCCATTTTTTGACGCTTACGTGATGTCAATCTGTCTGTAAAAGGTCGAATCTACAGAGCGTTGATGAGAGCAGTTTTGCTCTATGTTTATGAAACCTGGTCTCTCTGAGTTGAAAATGTTAGACGACTCTGTGTTGGGTCATCGTTTTCTCAGAAAGATTACTGACATCCAGTGGCAACACCATGTTAGTAATGCAGAGGTCCGGCATCGTGTGTTCAGGCACAGTGACGATAATTCAATTGGTATCACTATCTTGAAACATCAACTTCGGTGGCTTGGACATGTCCTACGAATGTCGCCTCAGAGAATCCCTCGTCTTGTATTAATTACCTGACGCTGGGACTGGTTGGAAAAAGCGAATAGGTGGTCAGTGTATAGCATGGTATTATGGTATGAAAGAAAACTGCACAGGAGTGGCTTCCGTTAGTCCTTCACGGATGGTGCAACACAGTGGCTAGAAATGTTATCAGATATGGCTCGAAATAGAAATCAGTGGTGATCCCGCTGTGACTTCATAAAACTTAGAGTGACTTCTTTACCTGAAAAAAACACTTTCTGGTTGTATTTTTCCTGGCTGAACTGTTTGTCCCATTATCATTATTATCTCACTTGCACTAATTTCTTTTTATTGACGCTTTTGATTTTATTATATCCACCCTCCATTCTCTATCTCTTCACAACCTCGTTGTTATTTTGTGGCGCATATTTGGTGCCCCCTGTACCAATGTTTGTGTTCAAATAAATAATATATTCACTCTGAAAAAGGTTGACTATCTACATGAGTTCTATCGTTATTTCCTTATATGATCTCAGTTTTTGATGGGTTTTTAGTTCAGTGTATGAAGTAGAAATCATATAATTCTCACGTTCTCACCACCACTACGACAATATAGACTTACTTACCTAAAACGTTTGCACCTATTTGACGAGATTACATTTTCTGTTGCTATTTTTATAAAAGTGGTCCATGGAAATGTTTTCTCAGTTTTATAAATTTTGTCCACACCAAGATTTCCTTTATATTTATATGTATTCACCTAAATGGTATTACAAAATTGCCTACTTATATCTGGAAATACTCGCTTTCACTTTGAATTTTTTGGGACAGTTAAACTATGGGGGATTATAGGTCTCCTGACATTTTGATCTCACCCTACAGCTCCCACTGGCGTAAAATATAACATTAAAACTTGTTTCAAGAGTTTCGTAGTTTTTCGCTTTATCTAATAATTTATGCTAACGAAAATTACCCTGGTAGCGATTTACATCATTTTAACACATAAGAAATATTGAGTTCTTTTATATTCCTTCTTATTTGTACTGTGAAGCTGTTATGGGGGAAAATTATTATTTTTATGTTTTGGGTTTTCGATATCAAAAGAATACACAATTCGTCAACATAACAGGTTTTCCTTGCTCAGTAAAATGACACGTATACGTAGCATTAAGCAAATATAAATACGATTAAGTTATTTTAAACGTCAGTAAATGTAGGATACAGGTCTTTTTAGGTCATCCAGTTGCTACTAAAACTTATAATCTATCAGTTCGATTTCACAGCTGTAACATTAACGGAGAGTAGACGATGCTTTTTGGGAATTCCAAGTATTTCTAATAAGTCTACAAAATTTTTAATTATCCTCATGGGCTTATGACAGTTGACCAGTCTGTTAATTGCTTGATTACCAAGAATTTTTTTCGAGTCTAAATGATCTTATTTTATAATCAGTAACCGCGCTAATTATCTGGTTTTTCAGGTTTTGGTTTTGTGAATTTTCCTCAGCAGTTCTTGAAATGCTATCACATATCAACCACTGTTCAGCACTCAAAATTTTTATATGGATGAAATTTTTCCTCAATGTTTTATAATATACTGAATTTACTTACTACTATTTTAGGTTGCCCGACTTACTGAAACTTACAATCGAGAGCATATAACTGTATGGGGGTCAATGAATTCAAAAGTATCAAAAAATGTGAATTACGCAATAAAAACATTCTCACTTTTGCTCCAATTTCGTATGTAATATGGATAATGGCGTGTTATGTTGTGGGACTACTCCCTTTCATACCTATAAAATATGATTGTTTTGAAATTCCTTTAGTTTCTGTTATTCGGTAGGTTAACATGGCCTTTTTGTTGTCTATTATCACTATTATTTGCCCATCTTGTTACCTTTGACAATCTGTCGGACGTGATTTTATAATTCACTAACGACTGAGTAGTGACTAATCCCACATATCTCAAGTCCGTCTCAGTAATATTCGAATTCTATTGATCAAGTTGCAATGGGCTCACTAGTCTAAGTGACTCAATATCACGTACACTATGCTGAGATGTAAATTGGTGGTTGGAGGTAATCGACAGGAAACCCTAGACCTAGATTTCATATTATTTGGTACTTGTCAACAAGGTGTACTTTTAATTTTGAGGGGAATGACGCTCCCTAGCAGTTCCAATCCCGTCACCCGACTTCGCAGTTTATAAAGATAATTAAGTATTTAATCTTTCAACAATAAACTCGTTTGATTTAAGCAATTAATTAACGACTTTAGAACACCTTTTTGTGTCAGGTCTATTGATAGCACCCATTTGCTTAATCCTAAGTAGGCATAACCGGGTTTGAACCTGCAATTTATCAATCAAAAGACAGTCACTTCGAAAACTAAGTCATTTTTAAAACAATTAGTCCCTTTGATAATTTCGATAATGCAATGAGAAGACGAAGATTATCAGAACTATGTGATATATTAGCGCAATACATTTTTACCACTTCAATTTCGTTTTCTGAATATACTTTCTTGGAGTCGTGAAATAATGGCTATAGCTTTGTAATACCAACCAGTAGGTTACAATTTGAAATCATACTTCCTCTCTCTCGTTCAAGGGAGCTGGATAATATCATTAATCCCTACAGAAACAATGTAGCTCAAAACAATGTATTAAAACTCTTAAATGGTAAATAAAGTAAATACTTGCTTTACAACAGTCGATATTCTTTATAGATACCTTTTACACAACATGGAATGCCACATATTTTATCCTTTCCAATACAAACTTCTTTCGACAACTAGTGCTCATGTATTTACTTGCTTAAAACCAGTTCGTTCACTGTATATGAACTCTCGACCGTAGCTACTAAATTGACCCAGTCAATAGCTCAATTTACTGTCCATGTATCTGGAGCCTCCCCTTGCTTGCGTAGGTATAGGACCAAGTTCGAAATCAGAACAGGCTTTCTTAGACCGTATTCCAATAAACAGTTGTGTGTTCTCTCTCCGACAAACTGGTGAAGTACAAACACGGTCAGATAAGGACATGTCACGTTGTCTCTCTTTTTACTCCCATAGACTGCAATTGGGATGAATAAAACGATGTTTTGCATTAAGCTTTATATAACTGTCTGCTACGACTGTGCTCAGAAAGCCGTTTATTCTTTGCAAGCACCAACTTTAAGCATAATGATAGACATCGTCTTACACGGCATCCCTCATAATCGACTGACCGTCAGACGCAACTAGATTATACCTCCGTCATTAAAGAGGCTCGATAGAAAACTGCTGCTCATTCCGAGGCATATGTGTAAACTTTTTCAGGCTATAGTACGAACACGTATTTTTTGCGTCTTACTGGACACAGAAAAACCAAACCAAGAAGACTCCTTGTAGATTAGTTTAACGACGAAAATGTCAAGATTATGTTTCAGAAACAACTAGAGAAACATTTGGTCAGATGTTAAGGCGATTGTCCTTCGATTTGTTTGGCATGATATCCAGACAGCTTTGAAAATAAGACTGACCTACGAGCTACTGTGACCATCAGAATGTGACGAGGAGTCAAGCGAACCTAATCTCAGACTGATACAAAGTCTATGCAACGATCATTAGCAAGAGTGGTCAGCGAAAGCCAAAGCTAAGGGGAAGACAACGACGACAATAAGTTTTTCAGACTTGTAAAAAACAGGTCGAAAATTAGGGGTTTTTGTGAAAAAGACGGAACAGTGATCCACTCTCAATCTAGGAGACTGAAGTGACTAGCATGACGTGTTGAAAGACAGTATAACTGTGTTATATCCGAAGATTAAATTATGGGTTACTTCCAGGGTCTATATATAGTGTCATTATATATACATTCTTATTGCATGATTGTTAAGTAACTAGATTACATATATTTATATTCCTTTTATCATAAGCTTTTATTTGACCTATTGACTACTATCATGCGACTTACTATTCTTAAATTATTCCCGATTTATTCGTCACTGTCTCTCATAGTCACTTTTCGGCTTGATCCAGCTAAATTGTTTTTTTTATAATATATATTTTATGGTATAACCTGGTCTGGTTTGCCTGCATATGAACCAAGTATGTCTGAAATATATGATTCATATATTGGTAGTTGATATTGGTGTTCTGAACTCAACAGGCAGGGCTAAACGAGAACTACCAATAAGGACTCTAGGCTGCTCGTCATTGGTTTGACACAGTGCTGAGATTGTATAAGTCGTGTTTTGATTGGCAATTTAGTCACGTGATAGTTAACAGGCCACAAGACAATAAATTGCTCTCGAGCTACCCTCTAGTTGCCTACTTTTAGCAAGCACTGTGAATAGAATGTCAACATATACTTCCTGAGTCTTAATGAACTCAAAAAAGCCATAGTTAGTCTAAAGTGAGGGTGAGTGGCAGGTCCTGATAGATTAACCCTGGAGTCCTTTAAAGTTGGTGGTCCAGTTTTATCTGTCGAATTGACTGAGATATTTGCAAGAGTATTGGAACTGTATATAGTCCCATTTGACTGGTCTCGACCACTAATCGTTCCATTCCCCTTGTGATTATTACTCAATCTGGCTAAAAGAATGTTTAAAATATTAGCTCGTGAAGAGCAAACTCAGAAAAACTAGGTTTGTTTTAGACCTGGAAATGGATCTATCGACCGGATATTCGTCAAGTTCTGGAACACTGATATACCTATCGACTCCCAACCACAGTTGTAATTTTTTGACTTTAAGACAGCCTCTGATCACGTAAATCGATAGGTTTAATGGCAGTATGTCATTAAAAGGCGCATTAATGTAGTCCATTAACTTTATACATTCTCTTTAATCAAACACTGCTGCTCGTACTAGAGCTTATGGTAAACTATCATCAGAATTGCTAACCTCAAGTGTTGTTTCTTTCCTGATTTCTATTTAACTTTGTCATAGACATTGTTTTAGGAATAACGCTTTTTCTCAGTGGCCTGTGATTGACTCGGTTGCCCATTTTGTTACTATTCTCAAGGATTTAATCGTACACTTAAACGTAATAACTATTAATTTAATCCATATTAATTGAATAATCTAACAAATCCAGTTGAGATTCAACTGAACTAACTGAAGTTAAGACAGGTGAGAAAAAGTCATCACCTTTCACTGTAATCGGTGTTTTTTCTCTATTTGTCAGTTCGAACCATAGTAATCTCTTATTATCTATTAATAATTTTACAGTTAAGCGTTAGCAAATATATGTAAAAATGCCAAACAAGTGTTGATCTTTCATGTCATTATTCTCCTTTTTTTTACATAGATCTAACGAGTTTGCCAGACGACGTCATTGGGATCGCTTTTTACCTCATACAGTTCTTCTGCTCTCAGATTTGTAGGTATTTATGCTTTCTGATGGGTTTTGTAATTTTTGCATTGCATCTTGTAATATAACTGATTTTGTTTATCGGCTTGTAACACTGGGAACTAGACATAGAGATTGTAATTGGGGAAAAGCGATAATGTGGAATTACTAAGAGGAAAGTAGAAAATAAATATAAAAACCCACTGCAACTGATTTTGAAACATATTGCTTAAGATCACTAACCATTTTTTACTATCATTTCTGATCATTATTATGTAGTTTACTCTTCCAAACACATTTCAAGCGAACAGTCAATAATCTCGCAATTTTATGAGTTACCTTTGTGCGGCTGGTTTAAACCTTCTTCCAAACTAAATGCTTGCTGGTCACCATCATCCTGTTTAGTATGTAAAGTTTTAAAAAAAATTATAGTCGAAGGATTCAAACGAAATAATTTCCTTCGATAGAACAATGAGAAGACGGAGTTGATCTGAAAAATGTGATGTATTTGCGCTATACATTTCGAACAATCTGGTCACACATATACTTGTCAAGGCATTTTTATATGAAAATTAATAAAGGTCAAACAAATAAAAGTACAATTAAAATAACTAAGGGGAGAGAAAGAATAAGAAATTGTCGCGTTATCCTAGGCCATAGAATGACTTAAGGATTACCAAGGTAAATTGGATCACTTGTGAAGAAAAAGTCTTAAGAACAAAGCTTTTTGTAATTTAAAAATCCCCATAGAATATTCAAAAATGAAGAATATTTGAGCGAACAATTGTTTTCAATAACTTCATCATCAGGCTCTACAGTTATAAGTCCATAATTATAATATTTTACAAAGGCCAAAAATAAAGCATGTATTAATGAATTCGACAATGTTACGTGTTAAAAATGGTAAACGTTTGCATCTGTTACGATATATATATATACTTCAAAATTGTATTATTTAACAAATTAGAAAGGTCATTCAATAATGGTCAGGATGATTTGGAGTAAAGTGTTCAGTCACCATAAGTATAATAGTATGAAAATGCAAAAAAAATTGTGTGAATAAAATGCATAGTAGGAGAATTTAGTCTTGTCAATCGAGATAATAATAATAATAAGATTGTTGTGTGAATATAATATGGGTCAATAATCACAATGAAATAGAATAAGTCACTACACATAATAGGTAAAAGTACAAGTTGATAGTAGGAAGACAGGTGAACAGATAGTGGTAAGAATAATAAACTACAATAACAAAGCTCTTATCAATAGTTAATCGTTGGAAATAGAAGGTCAAATAAACATGGGTAAATAGACTAGGAATATTAATCACAAAACATTAAAATCATTACGTAATAAGATGTGTGTAAATAATTAGATAGTGAAGAATACAAAGAGGCGGAAAATTACAAACAAATAATGGATGTGGAAATAAGGTTAATGATAACATAAATAGAATAAAATAAATAATGCTAATAATAAAATTTAAAAAAAATTGTTAGTTAAGTTATAACTGGCCATGTATATATATATCGTAACAGATGCAAACGTTTACCATTTTTAACACGTAACATTGTCGAATTCATTAATACATGCTTTGTTTTCGGCCTTTGTAAAATATTATAATTATGGACTTATAACTGTAGAGCCTGATGAACTTTTTGTAATTGTTTAGTGTATGTAATTCATTTGTTTACCTTATATGTCAAGGTATTAACCAAAATGGTTTACACTAGAAATTTGTATAATAAGAGGTACACTTAACGAAAAACTGTATTACGAAAAATGAAATCCAAGTCTACAATATATTTCAGTTTGTAGTTCATGAAATAAAAATAAATCTCTATTTTTATGTTATCAATTAATCGTTTAGTACGAAAACAAATTGATATTTAGTTAGTTTAAGATTATGATTTGTTTCGGCTTTCTTATAAACTCATGATTAATAGACAGTTGGTATTTTATATATCTGGAAATACTCATATTAATCACAGTTTTAATCTATGTTAGGATAAAACTGAATATGTGTTTATCATACTATATAGTGCGATTGACTCATGACCATGATTGTCACTACAAATGGTAGACATTAGAGTAAGCTTTCTTGTCTCCCAACTATTCCGTTACTTTCCACTTCTTGTTTTGATTTTTTTGCGCGCATATGTGTACGTATGAAACAGCATATTATCGTCACCTTTGTTCATCGAACATCTACGAAAACGTGGACTTCCGGTAAGTTTACTAAATTAATAAGTTATTTTAAACAAGAAAATATCTTCCGGTGTTCATGTAGGTGAATATTTCGTATCCATTCTATTCGGAAATCCATGTTTGTGTCTAATTCGATTCAACTTTTATTGTGAAATTTTAAACTATGATGGATAATAGCTATCAGTGGAATCCAAGACGTGCGTTTCGTCCTATTTGGGACTCGTCAGCTGGATGTGCCAGCATCCCAGAGTTGATGTCCACTCGGGGACTCGAACCTAGCACCATTCGCTTCAAACGCCATCTCGTTATCCACTTACCTACTGGGTCCTGATATCCATCTGTTTGTGCGATCGGGTGAAGTTTAAATTTACGTGATATTTTTTGCTTGTATCTTCCCATCGTTGATGCAGGTACATCCAGCTGGCGGATCCCAAATAGGACGAAACGCGCTTCCTGGATTCCACTGTTAACCACCATCCATCTTTGCCTATACAGCTTGTGACTTAAGGCAGTATCGAGGCAGTTCGCACAAGGTGCATATATGTCAACAAGAGACTGATCAATTACAGTCCTAAACAACAATGAAAAGATACAAGCTAATAATACCATTTTTAATTCCATTATGTATGTAAATTCATCAAGGGGTAATGGGATCACTATTAATTTTTAACTGTTCAAATTTTACCACCCACGGCTGTCATTGTAGTTTTCTTGTCAAAAGGAAGACTAATTACCAATTTTTCATATTATAGATGATTTATGATAGAAACGACTATTCCGTTTTGTATCTTGAATAACAGAACTTTTACTCCAATCAATGCTAAGCAAGTTTCAATAAAACTATCTACTGATTGTTATAAAAACTAATTGTGTACATCTTTTTTAAAGATCGGAATACGTTTTATGTATACACTTACTAAAGTTCTCCGCACATTCTCATATTGTAATCGTTTGCAATGGCGTAGGTGCATCCACTCTTTGTGTTCTCCCAAATTCTAATCTTCTGAATTCTTCATTTCCCTTTTTTCCGATTTCCAAATTTATTTCACAGTATTATACTCCTTGAATAACATTTTCAAGCCCTAATATTTCCGATTACTGCTTATACTCTTACCACCTCTACCACTACGGAATTTGAATCGACAACAGCATTTCTGTGCTAATGTGGTATGACAACTCGAACTGATGTACGTACGTACGAAATTCCACGTGTTACTGACCGACTGATATTATTTTACACCAAACTCCTATAAACTTGATTCATCTATCAAGTACAAGCAGTTTAATATATCTGGTTTTGAGTCACACTTTAGCTATATGAAAGCTACTGATATTACCCAGCTACCTAAATCGAAAGTTGACGCTGAGGTTTTTAACTTGTGCGTTGATTGTTGAAAGTTGGATTATTTAACTAATAATAAGCTATATCTCTACTACTACTGGTAAATATTTAGTAAGCTGAACTAATGTATATCTTCAAATCAGTAATTGCACAATACACTATGCTAAATGTAAAGTATTTACACAATATTATTAAGATAAACAGACATCATCGATATAGAGACTGGTACAAATGTATGTTGACTTAAGTTGCCATACCACATTAGCACGACAAAATAAACAAAGGGAACTAACCGTATGAAATGAAATGGAAAATTAGACCTAAATAATCTAGCAGCAATAACAATTCGAAGAAAAACCAAACGTTGAAAAGATAAAATGCAAAGGCATGTATACAGAAGTACTGGAATTCAATATCGAGAGGAAAATATACGGTAGATGCATCTTCATCCAGTTTCTAACCACACCTTATTAATATGAATATTAGAACCATATAGATCAATAAATCAAATATTTTCTACACCCACAATTAATAGAACCAACGTTTCATATTTCACTTCTGTATTTTAAGCCCTAAAAGCTTCTTATTATTTTCTTTAGTCTATGAGACAACGACCTACTACCTGAATATATGAATTCAAATGAAATATTGTTAACTAATTCATCAAAGGCATTAGTCTCATATTGATTGACCCTGTGACATTATCGCCTTTGAACTTGAGTTGAATAAAAACAGGTTTTTTATTTACTGTAGTTTCTTTGGGTATTTTATCTTCACGTTTTCAAATGAAATAATTTAAGAAACTATATCCATTTAAGTAACATTGTTGTTAGTTAAATATTAGAACCCTTCATAGTATCTTATGTTATCTGAAGCTCAGATAAAGTTTCTGAATTCGTAAGAGAAACCGAATATCTGACCTCCTCCCATTATAATAATGTTAAGCAGTGATTAAAACGGGGAGCATGTATTTCAATCTAACAGTTAGTGCATCCGGATTACTTCCTAAATTAAATTGCAATCACCAAGTAGGTAGTGCTGATATTAAGTATTAGAGTAAATTATTTGATTATTTGAGTCTTTGCAAAATTAATTTTCATGACCCTGTCTTGCATAAATATGTTCCGTTTCGTCGACTTATTCTTGATAATTTTTACTATTGCAAGAATAATTTCCATACAAATATTTCAATTTAAATGACAGGATATAAAATTAGGATTCCTTGTTCGATAGTGTTGTGTTTAAGTATGCTTACATTTAATAAAAATTTGTGATTACGGGACACTTGACTGATATGGTAAACGTATTTACTATTTTCTATACTCGATCATCGTTGAACAACCGATTGAATGAAACTCGCCACTATACATCAACTTGATTGACTATGAGAAGGCATTTGACAGTGTGGATAGGAGGACCTTATGGAAACTTCTTCAACACTATACTGTATTTGAGAGAATCGTCAACATCATCCGGAATTCATACGACGGTCCACAGTGCAGAGTCTTGCATGGAGGGCAGCTGACAGACGCTTTCCAAGTGAGGACCGGAGTCAAACAAGGCTGCCTACTCTCCTTTCTCTTCTGGTAGTCAGTTGGATTATGAAGACCACCCCCACACCTAACGGAAAGCACGGAACATAATGGACGGGTTGAATACAGCTGGACGATTTGGACATCGCAGACAACTTTACTCTTCTATCCCATGCACACGAACAAATGCAGATAAAGACAACTAGTGTGGAAGCAGCTTCTGCATCAGTAGGCTTCAACATGCACGAGGGAAAAGGCAAGATCCTCAAATTCAACACAAAGAACACCGGCCCAATCACGCTTGATGAAGAATCTCTGGAAGAGGTGGAAAGTTTCACGTACCTGGGCAGCATCATCGATGGACAAGGAGGATCTGATGAAAACACACAGTCCAGGATCAGCAAAGTAAGGGCAGAATTCCCGCGATTGAATAGCCAACATCAAGATCAGAATCTTCAATACGTGAAGACGGTTCTACTGTACGGAGCTGAAACTTTTAGAAATACTGCAGCCACTATCGAAAAGGTACAAGTATTTAAAAACGATTATCTGCGCAAGATGCTCAATGTCCGTTGTTCGGATACCATCAGCAACAGCCTACTGTGGGAGAGAACAATCCAGCTTCTAGATTTAGAGGAAAAGCGATTGAGGTGGATAGGACACTGCGAAAGTCAACGTAGTGCATTACGAGGTCAGTCCTAACTTAAAGTCTTCAAAGCAAAAGGAGAAGAGGAAGACCAAGTAACACATTGCGTCGGGAATCAGAGGCAGACATTAAAGGAACGAATAGCACTTAAAAACAACCGGAAAGGAGAGCCCAGAACAAGGTCGGTTGGACAATCATGGTTGGTAGTCTGTGCTCTTCCACGAGGGGTCACAGGCGTAAGTAGGTAAAAGGTAGTAACAATATTAGTGATAATGTAAAAGATTAGGCATCGGAGCTACGATTACGAAATAAAGAATGAAACTTTTTTCAATATACATTCGTAAACTTATTCGTTTTAATTTGGTTTTTTACAGTAGAGTTAGATTATGTGTTTACTTATTAACTATGGCAAATTTGTTGGATCAGACGTTCACTATATATATATATATATATATATATATATATATATATATATATATATATATATATATTAAGTAGCCAACAAATACATTCACAATAGTGAATGTCATTTGGATTAAGCACTATTTGGCACCAATATATTAAAGTTATGTGGTATGTAACGTTAATTTGTAACATTTTTATAATTCTATAACTTCGACCGACCTCTGTTTACTTTTGCCAGTCGTTGTTTATTTCGTAATCAACATAAGACTTTATTATTTTCATTGGATATTTTAAAGCTCGTTTAGCTTTTGCCAGTTTACGTCACCAGTGGTGTAGACAGAATATCCGTCTACCAATTAGGGGGCGAATATACTGCGCAGCAGTTCTTTCTGTTATACAATACGGTTGCGAAACGTGGCCATTAAGAGTAGTATTTGACCACAGATGTCTTAGAAATATTGCGTGCATCTGCTGAAATCACTGGGTAAGTAGCAGTGAAATCAGACGAACGGTATTAGGGAATGATGGTTAATCAGTTGGTGAGTTTGTAAATCTTCATCGTCTGGAATGGTTGGGTCACGTGTTACTTATGCCTAAACATCGATTACCGCGACGCGCAATGCTGACTGGTGTTGGAAGCAGTTGGAAGAAATTTGAGGGCGGCCAAATCGAAACGTGGCACCGGTCCATAAAGTCACTAAATTCTAGTCTGAGTCATGATGGTAGATGCGGACTACTTGGTTGGGGTCCGCGTGACTATCATAACCAATGGTTGGAGACTGTGGGTGACATGGCTCAGAATCGATCACAATGGCGTGGGTGTATACACTCTTTGTCTTCCTTTAAACCGTGAGATTAAAATCGCTTTATACGTTTCTTTCTACGAAGTAATTCTTTCTTCCTGTACTGTATCCCTTATACACAATCTTTCTTTTATATATTATTACCATTGAATTAACTACTTCTATGAATTTGTTGTTCACCTTGTTGTGCTAATGAGGTGTGGCAACTTGGACCGATGCACATACATGCCTGGTTCTACGTTGTAGCTGACTGACTGACTCCTAAATAGTGTTATATACTTCTTATGTCGATATAAGGTGCACACACCACAATTCAGTTGAACCCACATGAAGAATTTCACAAAGAACAAGAATAAGTTGTGTATAAATTCTATGTACTACGTGATTTGCGAACCCAGTTTGTGCATATTGCCTTTGCGAGTCTAGGTTAGTAAATGAAACTACTATTAATCCTCGATACATTTCTGGAATCATTATTATTTGAAATTTTCGTAAAAACAACCTTCAAAGCACCAGTGTAAGATGTTATTAGAATTGTGTTTAATCTTCAACTTCCACGCCATTATATTTCGTCAGATGGAAATCGTTATAGGCTTGTTACTAAACTGGGATTTATTTTTTTTAATAGAATTTATAAGATTATTTTATCGTTTAAATTTATACTCATAGGACTATAGTTTGTCAACTTATTTCTGTTCAGCATCCACATAACTAAAATATCACCTGGAGAATCTAGTCTTGTAAACAGTTTTATAAACTATCTAGTTTTTCCATGTCAGTTGAATAATTCTGAAAGTGCAACACTTATAGAGTGGCCGTTTCACTTTCAAAGTAATTAGTCATTAACACACTACAAAGTAAAATGAAACTTGGCTAAGCCTTATTTTCTCCCGTTTTACCTGTAAGGTTTTCAATAGTAAGCGAATGTTTAAGCAGTATCAAATTCGTTTATTTATTTCCCAAAACTACATTTTTTAAAACTAGTGTTTTGGCTGTATTTTTTTACTGGAAAAAATGACTTAGAAACTATTTGTAAGTCATCATACTTATGATATCCTTAAAACACCCGTATATTCTGTATTACTTGTTGGAAAGTTCAGTCTATTAATTTTCTTATTGATATTTTCTCTACAAGGTATTCTTCTGGGTGTGTAACAATGAAGAGGATATGCAAAAAGCTTTTGAACTTGGAGCTTCAGGAGTAATGACAGACTATCCCAGAAAACTAACCGAATTCCTGAAGAAGCATCCTGAGTATCCAAAAGTTTTTTAATTCATTTAACATCCTCGCTTTAATAATGACAGACTATCCCAGAAAACTAACCGAATTCCTGAAGAAGCATCCTGAGTATCCAAAAGTTTTTTAATTCATTTAACATCCTCGCTTTAATAATGACAGACTATCCCAGAAAACTAACCGAATTCCTGAAGAAGCATCCTGAGTATCCAAAAGTTTTTTAATTCATTTAACATCCTCGCTTTAATAAAACATTGGACTTTATTTCTGTTCATATCCTATGTCTTGTGAATTTCTGATTTGAATTAAACGTGTTTATTTTGTAAATGACGTTGAATTTATATGAACATTAGTCATTTTCATTATTTTACGATCGGAACACTTCACTTCGTAAATATTAATCACAAGTTCACGGGCTTATAAATACTTCATGTTGTCGGTGTATAAACCATGATTTTGTTTTTAATGGTACTGATGGTCAACAACACTACTCTTCGTCATTCTTGATGTAAATTTTGCAGGTAGAAACTCAGAAGTAAAGTTTAATGTTTGCTAGTTAATTTAGATAGTAGGTTACAAATGTCTTACAGAAGGACGGTGTTACTTTGTCTTAAAAGCTACTGAATCTTTAACTTATCTGCTTTGTCTTATTTCTTCACGAATTACTAGTTGTGGATTTACGCTCCAACTAGAATAGATAGACAAGACTACCATTTAGCTGTTGCCTTTGATTTTACTTCCTGTTCAGTCATTGCTGACCACCTGTGTACTACATAGCAGTGATTGATCATATCGTTCTTAGTTAGCAGGCTATTACTACAGCCAGGAAACGGATATTTGTTTTGGGAGTTATTTTTATTTACTCTGGTTTCAGTTTTAGGTACATTGTGTTGTGGATGACAAGACTGAATATGTTTATTAAGTCAGGCCAAAGTCATATATCGAACGAGATTTGTGTGGCACATATATATTTGGTCCCTCATTGTATCAATATCTATGTGTTAATATAAATAAATAATAGTGCGGTCAGACACCGGAAAATTTCAGATTCGGACTGCGTCCGCGATCTGTAGTGATGGTTGAAGTAGAGCCGAAGTTTGCTACCCATCGTTCGGCGAATGCGCGAGCCACGCTTTCAGCAGTAACGTCCTTGATAGGTACTGCTTCTGGCCGTTGAGTGAAACGGTCTACGTAGGTTAAAAAGATAATAGTATCCATTTGAAGCTAGTAAAGGTCCTACCACATCAAGATGAACACGGTCAAAACAAGCGTCAGGAGTTTTGAAGGAACCTAAGGGACATTTGTTGTGTCTAATAATCTTAGATTTCTGACAGCTTACACTGGAGAGTGGCCACTCCCTCACGCTGCTAATTCATACCAGGCCATCAAAATCGTTCTGCCGCGAGCTTAATTGTTGCACGAACACCTTGATGAGAAAGTTTGTGCAACTTATTGAAGACGTTGTGCCGGTAATATTTCGGCACGATTAGGCGATCCCTACATATAGATGTGTCACAAAGTAAGGTTTCCTTACCTGTTCCCTTCTGTTTAATACGCAGTTTAATGGTTGTTGAGGATAACTCGCGCTGAAGATCAGTGCCTTCTTTCCGAATTTGGGCGACAAAAGTGTAATCCGTGTTAGGTGCTGACCTCGAGGTGTGACTTCGGATTTAGCTGGTTCGTCACACCATTCCCGTCTAACTCGAGTAGCCTCCAAGCATTCGACAGATCATCCACGTTGGTGATCTACAAGTTCCCCAATTTGAATATGTGCTCAATCCTGTGTCCCACATGCACATTTTACAAGTGACGATGTCAATATAATGTTGACGAAATATCCAGTATATATTTCAGAAATGATTAGTATTTATAAAGCATGCTAAATGCCATCAAAATAATACGCTCTCTGTGAATAATAATAACAAAATGTTAGAAAGAATATGGAATACCATGTGGCTGAAATAACAAAAATCAATTAATCTTCTAGTGCAAAAGGATAGTACTTTATATCTTCTACTATTTATCCTGTACGTCAATGGATGACGGAGACTGTATAAAACATTGGTATCCCTGAGTTCAGGTGATATCAGTCTGGATAGTGGGCCTGATTATATCAATCTTCAAGTTTGTTTGAACAAATCATTTAGATATTTCACAAGTTGATATTCCGAGATTAAGTCTGAAAAGTATGTGCTAATCTCTTGAAGAATGCTGGTCGGCGATCTATGCTCCATTTGGAGTAACAGGCATTAGTAAGTAATCTGTATCATATATTGCACTAATCACCAGCATATCATCAATGGAACGCCATTTCCAAAGTTCCAGGCAAAGGAAGATCTACGAGTAAATACTAAATTCCAAAGCAACTGGTGCTGCAAACTTTCAAGTATTTTGGAAACTTCATCAAAATTTTATAGGTTTTGATCAATATGCGGTTTAGATCTTTCAATCCACACATGTGAAACGCTTTTTCGACCAGGGATGCCACAGTCAGTCAAACCAGAATTGAGGAATAAAGTGTTCCGAAGGTATGTTTGGAAAAGGGTCGACACTCCGAGACCTTACTAATTTGATGAGAAGCACGGCGTAACTAATGGCTATATAAAGCATATAGTTGACCAAGAATATTCATTTAGAATGTACCCAATGAAACTGAAGAGGTCAACATCAGTACGAATATATACCGAAGCACGTATTTCAGAAATTTATTTAACGCTACAGATTGCTTAATTTATGATTACTAAGGGAGTGACGGGTCCTCTCAAAATATTTTACAACGAACCATTGAGACGCTTTAGCCTCAATCCTGTATGTCGTCGTAGAGAGCGAAGTGACTTTTTATTGGCTCTCAGTAACTTTGGTAATTGTTTGAATGTTATATCCTTGCTTATTTTTGCATTAAAAACTTCCGAAGAAATCGTAGATTTTCACAGTTTTTTGAAATCATGAGTCAGTTGAAGCTAGACCACCATTGAAAACCTGGAAGCACTGGACGGCCGTCCTGGTATGGGACTCCTCAACTCACTGAAGACAATGGTGTACGGTGGCGCAACTTCGTGGATTGGTTGAAGTTAGACATTAACACCGTTGGATGCCGGCTCAGTGGTCTAGTGGTTAAGTGCTCGCGCGCGAAGCCAGTAGGTCCTGGGTTCGAGCCCCGCGTGGTGCGGGATCGTGGATGCGCACTGCTGAGGAGTCCCATACCAGGACGAAACGGCCGTCCAGTGCTTCCAGGTTTTCAATGGTGGTCTAGCTTCAACTGACTCATGATTTCAAAAAACTGTGAAAATTCTAAAATTCTCCACAAAACCCATTCTGATAATAAATCGTAGATTGTTTACAATATGGCGATCCAAGAAAACCCAAGGTGAAATTCCATCCTTCTCATATAGCGAAACGCTCTAACCTAATTATCAGAATCGTCCACTCTATTGGGCACCCTCAAGGAGAGACGGATTGTCACTGGAAGCTGAGCTGCAATGCAAGCCTCACTTCCTACAATCTTTATTTCTGAAAACTAAATAAAGAAAACACAACAATTGATTTCGAAAACGATAATCACAAGTTTTAAACTCTTTAAGTTACCAAATAAGTCTTCTCTCGTATTTTATTAGAATTTTTTGTTTCCGTACACTTGTTTTGCTACACACAATGAACACGTTTGAGTAGTACGTTACCATGTGGGTTGTTTGCATAATTGCAATGATTTTTGTTTCTAAAAATATACAGGAACACTACCAGTAATGCCCACAGTCCTATCAAAGACGTTTATCTTGGAACGGAATGCGGCAAGATAACTGAAATCAATGAGTCGATCATTGGAAGGCGAATAGTACATGAAAAAAAATTTGGGACTATCTGTTATGTTGGTGAGTTGCCGAGATCCAGTGGGTCTTGGCTTGGAGTTGATTGGGATGACCAATCGCGTGGCAGACATGATGGGACTTACGATGGTGTCCGGTATTTTCAGGCTAAATGTCCCACTTCCGGTTCATTTGTGAGGTGAGTAATAATGTTTAATAATAAAAAGAAAGCTATTGCCTTAAGCAGCAAACAGAAAATCAAAAACCCATAACTCCAAAGCGATCTGTCATGAAAAGTTCTAAAATTAAGGCACAGTCCAAACGTGACTAATAAAGAATGTTTAGTCCGAGTGGGGTCAGAAGTTTATGTTGGGTTCTTCGGTTGTGACACTATACTATCCGATATGCTAATGATCCACGAACTGGTTCCAGTCTCCTTCTGGTTCGGTTTATTGTTTAGTGTGTTATCATTCACGATACACATATGCACTCCCAAAGGGTCTAGGTATGTAAGTGCACAGAATATTGGAGTTAGTTTTAAATATCTAACTTTTGTTTCAACGACCTATAATCTCTAACTATGAATTCTGCTGAAATCACTGGGTAAGTAGCAGTGAAATCAGACGAACGGTATTAGGGAATGATGGTTAATCAGTTGGTGAGTTTGTAAATCTTCATCGTCTGGAATGGTTGGGTCACGTGTTACTTATGCCTAAACATCGATTACCGCGACGCGCAATGCTGACTGGTGTTGGAAGCAGTTGGAAGAAATTTGAGGGCGGCCAAATCGAAACGTGGCACCGGTCCATAAAGTCACTAAATTCTAGTCTGAGTCATGATGGTAGATGCGGACTACTTGGTTGGGGTCCGCGTGACTATCATAACCAATGGTTGGAGACTGTGGGTGACATGGCTCAGAATCGATCACAATGGCGTGGGTGTATACACTCTTTGTCTTCCTTTAAACCGTGAGATTAAAATCGCTTTATACGTTTCTTTCTACGAAGTAATTCTTTCTTCCTGTACTGTATCCCTTATACACAATCTTTCTTTTATATATTATTACCATTGAATTAACTACTTCTATGAATTTGTTGTTCACCTTGTTGTGCTAATGAGGTGTGGCAACTTGGACCGATGCACATACGTGCCTGGTCCTACGCTGTAGCTGACTTTGCCTCTTCCGAATGTATATTCCTGTAAATCGTGTTGATTGAAGTGGTCATAAAGTATTCTCGATAAATTGTACCGGTTGTCCATGATCGATATTATTTTTTAAGAAGATTAGTACAATCAAACTCAACTTTATAATGGATATGGTTCTAAAAGTATCACTTTCGTCATATGTATTTCAGCGGCTGAACTACCAGAAGATCCACCTGCAGACTTGGAATACGCAGTTGATACTGTTCTGTTTGGTGAAGGCACTGACAAAATGCAGAGTCTCCCAAACGCCTTAAGCAACGATGTATTCACGTTTGGGTTGTGATTCTCCACCTCCAAATGCAGAATGTTGCTTTAGGATTGGCGTGCATCAGCGACTGAATTTACGGTAGGGAGTGACGTAGTTGAATGCATCAGTTGCTTTACCTATCTCGGGTATTTCATCAGTCCTGATAGTCTGGTGGCTGACAACATCTTGGCACAGACTTAGAAAGTTCGACTGACTATTGCCAACTCTCGTCACTTTTGGTGCAGGGAAAATATCCGCCTGTCAACCAAAGGACGAGTTTACCGTGCAACAGTTTGCTCCATTCTACATTATGGATGTGAATCGTGGCGATTAAAAATAGGGGATATTCTCAAGTTGCTATTGTTCGATCATAGGTATCTTCCAAGCACTCCCCGTGTATTTTGAGACCACAGGGTAAGCAATGCCTGGGTTGAGAATGGGGTACTAGGTGGGGACGGTAAATCGGTTGGTGACGTATTAAATTTTCATTAACCGAGTTGGTTGAGACATGTGTTATGTATTCCCGACCACCGTCTGCCTTGACTGGCGATGTTGTGTGGTGTAGAAGTAGGCTGGAAGAGGGCTAGGGGCGACCAAACCAAAACATGGCATCAGTTCATGGAGTCATTGGCAATTGAACTGAGCCATGTTAATAGGTGTGGAATACCTGGTTGGGGTTTGTGTGAGTATCTGAACGAGTTGTTAGAGTTTTTGAATGACATGGCTCAAAATAGTTTCCAATGGCGCAGACACACCCATTAGCCGTTTTCCTCCAAATTCTAGCTTCTGAATTCCTTATAATCTTTTTGATTTCACTAATTTTTTTGCATCGTAGGTTTGATGCCTAACCTTTCCCATTATCAAAACCGAAGTAACTTCTGCATTTCAGTCATACACCTTACTCGTTAAATATTGACTACTTGTACAATTGAATAATATCCGCATTACATCATCGATTTCGTGCTATTAATTCCTCCCAGGTTTTTTTATCTCACAGTATTTCATAGTTTGCTTTTTGATCTTTAATCTAGGTATTCGAGTATTTGTATAGTGAACTAGGGATATAATCATACTTTCGGTTTGAACAGTTGAAGAATATAGTAATCCCTGATACGGTAAAGATAAATAACAACATTTCGCTTCTTTATAAATCATAAAGGTGACTTCAGTTCATGTCTATTTTTTGTTATTTTCCGTACACAATCATGTTATAACTTATTTCGTTCTACTTCATGTCTTAATTTCAACTCGATAAACTCCGTTTTTCCTATACAATCATGCTTTTAGGCCTTCAAAGGTGTCATTGGGTACCAGTCTAGAGGAAGCTCTCGTATATAGATATGCCGTCTGCACAACTTGTCAACTGGAAATCCAGACTTCTTTGCAATCACGGGAAAAGCCCACAGGTAGTTCTCATAATATCCTCGTTCATGAATGCACCCAACTTGGTCATCTAAACAGTTACCTTGGTAGTACTGCGGAGGAAGCTGAATACTTTGGTACTCACGGATACCCAAAAGACACATTACGAGTCGAACTTTACACTAATCCTGGGACTTACCATCAATCGACTTCTCATGACGAATTATGTGGAGCAGATGCAGCCAAAAGTTGTCTCAACCGATTAAATAGTGTTAGTTTGTCTTTTGTGCCCGTATATCGTGCACTATATGGAAAAAGTGACTTTTTCCCTGATCGACAACCTGAATACTCACCACTTTGGCCATCATCTGGAGGCTGTCTCGACCAGTTTTTATCCAGTTTATGCCATCTGGAAATGAGCAATTGTCTGTTGTCAAAGTGGACAGAAATTGCTGAGGTGTGTTTTGATTTTCATTAGCACTTTGTTCATTCTTTCCTTCACAAAAGTTAACTGTGTTTATTTATCTTATTAGATTTGTATTCAAATTCCGTGGTTAAAATCCTTGAATGTCAGTAACAACCGCATTCGTTTACCTGTTTCTCCAAAAGAAGTGCATGATAAACAAAAAGAAAATGAATGTCTGGAATCTAGACTTTTATATGACATATACTCGGACCCTGTCCTAAGTGAACGGTTGTGTTCGAACGCTTTTCCCCAGTTGTCGCAACTTACTTTAGTCAAATGCTCACTCCTAAATTGGAAAAGTATTAGGAGAATATTATGTTGGATGCCATCCTTACAGTCGTTATCTCTAGCTTACAATAATGTAAGTAAATGTTTTCCTTGTGCTTTACTTATTCAAGTAATTAATTGTAATATATATTGTTCATTTAACCTCAAGTATTAAATCCCTTCAACAGTGTTAATGTGTATTTAGACAGACTATTCAACTTGACAAATTTTGTCTCTGTAGTCTGTTTTAAAGATAGCTTCTAGAGTGACTTAAGGGTTTTAATTTCTAATTTAATCAAATCCTAACGACTTTTGTTACGTCAATCGTCATTCAACTTTCAGAAATTCCTAAGATTCGGCTTCACCTAATATTTCATTTTTGTATGGTTACACTGATTTCTATATTGTTGACAAAGCCTTACGATTTCATGTTAACTTATTTATCAGTGTATTTTCGAAAGTTCATCTGCTCATGTAATTTCAACCACTGACCTGACCGTCAACATAAGATTTTGCAACAAAGAAAATCATTCTATAATATGCCTCAAATAGTAAAAGTATCAATGATGAACCACATAAATTCCAGTAAAATGGTAATATTTCACTTCCGAGTTCTGTATTTCGATAAGGACCGTTACTATCTCCCAGTCTAATACATGTGTAAATTATGGTAAAGAAATCCCTATATTACTAGAAGACTTTGAACAACTTTGATGTCTTAATGTAAATTTAAGTCTTAAGAAGCAGTTGTAAATTAATAACCTGCAAATGATCATAAAAAGTAATTGTCAGATTTGTTTTTATATTCCCTGCATCTACATCTAGGTAACGTGCTAAAATAACCACCCATAAACCGTCTACTTTAATGTACAGTATGAAAACAGGTATTAAGCTTCATGGACTTTATAATAAAATAAAGTTGATATTGAGCACTTCGTTACCCTATAAGTGTGGTCACAAACCCTGATAAAAAAAAGTCTTTGAGGTCCGCCACTTTGTTGCTCTAAAGTATTAACCTATACGGCTTTCTTTTGTGTTTCTTTAAACTAAACAACATCCAGTCATGGTGTATTTATGAAATGTTTGATTACATTTTAGTTGGGCAATCCTCCAATTGACTGGGAAGAAAATGCTATTGAAGTTTTCCAAAAGTTGACTGAATTAGACTTAACTCATATAAATCTAACGTCCGCTCATCAGTTATTCGCCCTTATTGGAGCCTCCAAATGTCTGAACAGCCTGTTGTTAAATTATAACGAGATAGCAGACATTCCAAATCTAAATGATCATTCTAAGCACATCTGCCAGATACACGATAAAGATAGTTCACATCTGTTTCGATACCTCAACACTCTTGGGTTAAAGAACAACTTATTCACAAATTGGAATTTCGTTAATCAATTACTGCATTTGTCCAAATTGGATCATTTGATGGTATCAGGATGCCCAGTTTTCGAAAACTCTGTCAAGTAAGCTAATCTAGTCAAGTCTTTTCTACTAGAATTATAAAACTATCTGGTTTGTTTTTACTTACATACTTAATATTTTAGCATTGAATAAAAAACTACTGTGGTTAGACCTAAGCTGTATTATTTTTTCTCATATATTCAAACAAACAGGTTAGGATTGGAAACTTTACTCATAAATAGTTAAAAATATACTACCATAACTGTAGTTAATTTTACGGTTTGTCGCCCAGTTACGTTTCGACTACAATTTTTAATGGATGACCAGGTGGTGAACGAGTTGTCCATATTTTTATGAAACTTCAGCATACAGTTACCGTCTAATATGGAAGAATTAAATTTATTTCCATACGTTTAACAGTTCTAAATCCTGTCGTTCATAAATTCCATAAACACTAGTTTTAATTGTTCAGACAAGATTGTGGTTATTTAACAAAGTATATACGCATTAATAAATAATGATACACCTTTTCCAAAACAACTTAATGGTTATTACAACTTGTTCACCATTGAGTTGTTTACAGCACTTCATTGTCAGTCAGTCAGTCAGTAACAACGTAGAACTTCGTACGTACGTACATCAGTTCGAGTTGCCACATCACATTAGCACAGAGATGCAGTTGTCGATTCAAATCCCGTAGTGGTAGAGGTAATAAGAGTATAAGCAGTAATCGGGAAGATTAGGGTTTGGAGATGTTATTTAAAGAGTATAATACAGTGAAATAAATTTGAGAGGAGAAAAAAAAGAGACAAGGAGGAATAAGGAGATCAAAATTTGGGAGAACACAAAGAGTGTATGCACCTGCGCCATTGCAAACGATTTTGAGCCATGTCATTCAGGGTCTCTAACCATCGGTTGCTATCATCTCGCGGTCCCCAACCAGGTAGTCTACACCTACCAACATGACTCAGACCACTTGTCAGTGACTTCATGGACTTGTGCCATGTTTTGGTCTGGCCGCCCCTAGCTTTCTTCCAACCTACTCCTATACCACTGAACATGGCACGTCGAGGCAGTCGGTCGTTGGGCATACGTAACACGTGTCCCAGCCATCTCAACTGATGAAGTTTCACTACTTCATCAATTGATTTGCCATCCTTACCTAGTACCCGTTTCCTAACAACTGCATTACTTACTCGATGGTCCCAGGATATACGAGCAATATTTCGAAGACACCTATGATCAAATACTAGTAACCTACGAATATCCTCTACTCTTACCGGCCATGTTTCACTGCCATAAAGTAGGACGGAACGAACTGCTGCGCAGTAAACCCGTCCTTTGGTTGATAGACGGATATCTCGCCTACGCCATAAATGACGCAAGTTGGTAAAAGCTAGTCGAGCCTTCTGTATCCGTGCTGAGATTTCGTCACACACCAGACCACAAGGGCTGATGAGACTTCCAAGATAAGTGAAGTGATCGACACGCTCAATTACTTCACTCCCTATCATTAGTTCGGGTGTCGATGCAACCCAATCCTGAAGCAACATTTTGCATTTCGAGGGGGAGAATCGCATCCCGAACATGCTTGCATTGTTGCTTAGAGTGGTCAGAAGACTCTGCATTTTGTCAGCGTCTTCGCCAAATAAAACTATGTCATCAGCATATTCTAAGTCAACAAGTGAACCTCCCGGTAGAAGTTCAACCCCTGTAAATTTAGATGAGGAGAGTGTTATCTCTAAAAGTACGTCGACCACAAAGTTGAACAAGAATGGGGAGAGTGGACAGCCCTGACGAACACCACTTGAGGTAATCAATTCTGATGACAGTTCGCCATAAGCTCTCACTCTACCAGTTGTGTTCGAGTAGAGAGCCTTTATAAGGTTAATGTACTTCTTTGGTACTCCTTTCAGTGACAAACACTGCCATAGAACCTCACGATCAACGGAGTCGAATGCCGCCTTAAGGTCGAGAAATACTACCATTGTGGGGCGTCTGAATGTGTCTGTGTTCTAGAACCTGACGTAGTGTGAATATCTGATCTATACAACCACGTCCAGGTCGAAAACCAGCCTGATTTTCTCTAGTCTGCTCTTCACGAGCTTTGATTAGGCGTCGAAGTATTATTGAAGCTAATATTTTAGACACTATATTAGTCAAACTGATTCCTCTGTGATTGTCACAAGAGGACTTTTGTCCTTTCTTAAAAACTGGCACAATCAGTGATTGAGACCAGTCAGATGGGATTACGTCCAGTTCCCAAATTCTACCTAAGACCTCGGTTAATCTCACTGCTAATACTGGACCACCATCCTTAAAAATCTCAGGAGTAAACCTGTCAGGGCCTGCTGCTCTCCCTCGCTTCGGATTTCCTATGGCTTTTTCAACTTCGTAAAGAGACGGAGGACCTATATTAACTTGCCATTCAGGTTGACTGGAGATCGTGGGAAACCGAAGTGTGGCTGAAGGCCAGTTGAACTGATTCCTGAAGTGTTCTGCCCATCGATCCAATCTCCTGGATTGAGAATGTATGATATGTCCATCTTTCTCTGAGATTGTTTCGCTAACGGTCGGTTTCCTTAACAAGTCTGAACAATTGTCTGCTATTACCTATTGCCGCTGCCTTTTCCATCTCTCTTGCTTTCGCTACCCACCACTGTTCACGATCATTGCGTAGACTTCTTGTCAGCTTGCGCTTAAGCTGACTCCGCTCTTCATTATGTTCAGAGCCAGGTGGAATAAGCTGCCATATTTGGAGTTTGCCTGAATCCGTAATCATTTAAGTCTCAAGTTACTCCGTAAAATAAAAACTTAATAGCTTCTAGTTGTATCAAATTATTATTTCTAAGAATTGCTTACCCACTTGTGGGCAAACGTAAGCAATTTCTCTGAGATGAATTTAATCGTGGTTTAAAATACTCATTTCTTTGGAATTACAGTTCACAAGCATAGAGCTGAATTGGTAGTGTAGTGAACGAAGACATGTTGGGGATGACCAATTTATTGTTTAATGGAAAATTGCAGTGTCTTGGTAAATTATGGAAACCATACATTATATACATTATTTGCAGATCATTCACTTTTTCTTTATGTGCTTTATGATCCTTTCAATTCTGTTGTTACTATAATTGCTCTTTGATATTCCTGTTCGCTTCAACTCAACCTTCTGTTGATAAGCATTCCACTTCTGTCTGATGTTACATACTACTTATATCAGTCAACATATTGTCCACTCGGGCTTTAATGGCCAGCTTAACGTTATAACTTCTCCAATGGTAATTCAGATCGCTCTACGGTTGCTTTCGTTACGTGTGGATGGATCTGGTTTGTCATACCAGCACTTATGCAACTACTAGTTAGCGTGCACTCGACCATTCCTTACGCCTCGCGAACAGGAGTGAATCCAAGCCCAGCTTCCTTCTAATCCTGTGGAAGAACTGTACACTTCGATTATCCAAGTGCATCCATTATGGGTTAGTGGTCATCAAGTGATTGAATGTAATTCAAGTACCCTGCATCCAATCGCACAACAAGATGGTAACATCCGCACACTCAATGTCAAAAATTACTCTTCTGGGTAACGGATTGGCACCACCACACCTTAATCTCCTCAGTTTTTTTCCTGAATTTCATTAATGGTGAGATTGGATAACCCCGACCAGCTCCATCGCTGATTTGAAGAAGTGAAAAATAAGTTGTGTTGCCATTCTATCTCAAATGAATGTCTTTGTCCCCCTGAATGCCCTGGTACGGCCGAGAGTGGGGAGAGTCCGCTCTCCCTCTCGAAATACTCTCACACGGCCACGCGTATACAGCCTCTGCCAGGGAAGTCCTACTCATTGCCTTCTCGTGGCGGGGGTGTTGTTTACGAAAATGAGAGGACGAAAAGCGAATGTCCGGCGCTTTAACCGGATTCCAAACCAATGGTGCACATGGGCTCCAGTATCCTGCGGGAACGAATGGCGTATGAACCAATCGTTGGTCACCGGCTACCATGGGACTGCATCTCCTTACGATGCTCCACTGCCTTGTGGGTTAGACCTTTAGGTCAAAGGCTCGGGGAGTGGCCCCCTAAGATAACCACCTGCTTCGGTTTGGGCACCCGGGCAGTATCACAGCCCACACACAAATGATGAACTCTTTATGTCTATGGAAATTACTTTTGTCGCTTTGAAAAACAAACAATTGATTCAAATTATTATCATTACAATTATTGTCATTATTAATACTAATATTATTATTACTACTATTATTGTCATTATTGTTATTATTATCATTATTATTATTATTTTCCACATTATTCACCCTCTTTTATACTTATACAGCGGCTCGTCTTTGGTGGAATTCCGACTGTATCTAAACGTTCTCGAGTCACTGTCCGGTTGAAAATTGTATGTTACCACCGAATACGAGGACTGAAGCAGATTTTCTGAAACCACGTGCACCATTCAAACTGGCTGCCTTCAACGTTCGCACATTTATGCAGGTCGGACAACAGATAGGGCTGGCTATGTCTTTGGAAAGTCTTAATATCGACGTGTGTTGTCTATCCGAGACCCGTATTCAAGACTCTGGCGAAGTACTACAAATTCGATCTCCATCTGTCGCTTCGAAAAGCTTGTTTTACGTGCGCTTATCCGGGGACCCTGTGGCATCTTCGTCTGGTCTTGCTGGCGTTGGTGTCGCACTAAGCGCTAGAGCTGAGGCAGCACTAGTCGATTGGATCCCCATTAACAGTCGGTTATGTGCTGTTAGATTAGAAAGTTCCATCAAAGTGAGAAGAAATCGGCGTGAGAAACGATGTCTTTTCGTCATCTCCGCCTATGCCCCGACAGATTGCAGCCCGGATGCAATCAAGGATGAGTTTTACCACCAGTTATCAGTTCTTCTCCAGAAAGTGCGTTCGACAGATATTGTAGTACTAGCCGGAGACTTGAATGCTCAGGTCGGGCGTCTAGGCACAGAAGAGAGTCGTTTAGGTGGCCGATGGGGACTCGTTGGTCGCAGGTCAGATAACGGGGACCGTCTACTGCAACTTTGCACAGACCACAACCTGTTTCTGGCTAGCACTAACTTTCGGCACAGTCATCGCCGATGTGCCACCTGGCGTCCTCCCTCTGCATCTCAAGCCTGGACTCAGATTGATCACATCGCGATCAGCTACCGCTGGCGTGGTTGTGTACAAGACTGCCGCTCCTTTTGGAGTACCTATCTGGACTCTGACCATGCCTTGGTCTGCGCCAATCTTGCCTTACTTTTCAGTGGACAACGAAGTGAACGCCATCAACGGATTGATGTTAGCAAGCTGGTTGCAACTTCTGTTGCAAGTAAGTATCGAACCGAGCTAGCCTCTAGGCTAGCTACCACTCCACCGAAAAGTATAGATGAGCATTGGTTGCAATTGCATGACGCCATGAAAATGGCGGGAACAGTCAGTTGTGGGTTTGCGAAACGTCCCGCTTTTAAGCACTGGGTTTCTTCTGGTTCCTTACAACTCATTGAAGCCCGTCGGTCTACTCCGGGTGACCGTGAGTTTGACCATAAACGAAGGATGTTACGTAAGGAAATTGGGCAAAGCTTGCGTAAGGACCGAGAAGCCTGGTGGTCGATGCGTGCTAATGAGCTGGAAGCAGCAGCTGCATCTGGTAACTACCGGAAGCTCTTCCAACTCATCCGAGCCACTGGCAGCAAGAAGTCTGGTGTGAGTGAAACAATCTGCGAGGATGATGGGATGCCAATCACTAACATCCATCGACGTCTTGGACGATGGGCAGAATTTTTCGAAGGGCAGTTCAACTGGCCTGCTGCTCCGGCAACATCGGTCAGACTGTCCTGCCCTCCATGGCCGGTGACGACTGATCCACCAAATGAGGAGGAAGTCCGCAAGGAACTCCAACTCTTGAAGCGTTACAAATCACCTGGCCCAGATGACTTACCTCCGGCTCTTTTTAAAGATGGTGGTGACTTTTTGACTAAGGAATTGACGACGTTGTTTACAAAGGTTTGGGAACTAGAGAGTGTACCAACGTCATGGAATGAGTCGATAGTTGTCCCTATCTTTAAAAAGGGTTCACGTCGTTCTTGTAACAACTATCGGGGGATAAGTTTACTTCCGATTGCGTCCAAGCTATTGGCTTCCGTCATTCTTCGTAGGTTGTTCAAAACCCGAGAAAGATTGACTCGCGAGGAGCAGGCTGGGTTTCGTTCTGGTCGAGGATGTATTGATCATATCTTCACCCTCCGCCAAATGTTAGAACACCGCCATACTTTTCAAAGGCCAACAATCGTAGTGTTTCTTGACATCAGGGCTGCCTTCGATTCGTTGGATAGGACTGTTCTCTGGGATTGTCTATTGAAGAAGGGTGTGCCTGAGAAGTTTATTAACATCCTAAAAGCCCTGTATAAAAACACCTCAGGCAGAGTGAGGGCATACAACCACCTCTCTCCATTGTTCCATTCGAGCAGTGGGGTTAGGCAGGGTTGCCCAATCTCACCATTCCTCTTCAACTTTGCCATCGATGACATTCTGGAAACAGCTCTGATGAATGTAAGTAATGGTGGTGTGGATCTGTTGCCTGGAGAAAGACTTCTCGACCTTGAGTATGCGGACGATATTGTCTTACTGTGCGATAATGCCCAAGGCATGCAATCCGCACTTAATCAGTTGGCAATCAGTGTCCGTAGGTATGGTATGTGCTTTGCACCTTCGAAGTGCAAAGTACTTCTACAAGACTGGCAGGATTCTAATCCTGTACTCACCCTGGATGGTGAGCAGATAGACGTAGTTGAGAAGTTCGTGTATCTGGGTAGCTGCATAAGTGCTGGTGGGGGTGTGAGTGATGAGATCAATGCACGAATAGTGAAAGCCAGAGCGGCTTATGCCAATCTGGGCCACCTTTGGCGCCTTCGTGATGTTAGTCTGGCTGTAAAAGGTCGGATCTACAACGCGTCGGTGAGAGCAGTTTTGCTCTATGCTTGTGAAACCTGGCCTCTCCGAGTTGAGGACGTTAGACGACTCTCTGTGTTCGATCATCGCTGTCTCCGAAGGATTGCTGACATTCAGTGGCAACACCATGTCAGTAATGCAGAGGTTCGGCATCGTGTGTTCGGGCACAGAGATGATAACTCAATTGGTGTCACCATCTTGAAACACCGACTTCGGTGGCTTGGACATGTTCTCCGAATGTCGTCCCAGAGAATTCCACGTCGTGCATTATTTGCCGACTCTGGGACTGGTTGGAAGAAGCGGAGAGGTGGTCAGTGCATGACATGGTGTCGTGGCATGAAAGAAAGCTGCAAAGGACTGGCTTGTGTTGGTCCTTCACGACTCCCTGGTTGGGGTCCGAGAGATGGTGCTACACAGTGGCTAGAGACGTTATCAGATATGGCTCAGAATAGAAGCCAGTGGCGATCCTGCTGTAACCTTCTTTTACTTTCTTCATAAAAAGTGGTTGTGTCTCCTTTACCTGAAAGATTTCTTCTGATTGTACCTTATCGTCATTACTCTCTTTTTCTTTTGCGTTCCTTAGTTTTTTTTTTCTTCTTCTCTTCGAATTCCCATTGTTTTGTGTGGCGCATATATATTGGCGCTCTCTTGTACCAATATTTATGTGTTCAAATAAATAAATAATAAATAAATAAACTTTGTCCGGGATTATCTAAATGTTGGTAGATTTATCAAATGCAATTACTTTCAGTAAGCAGTTCCAGAATACAGCCCTATGCAACAAATCGTATTTAGAGGCAATATCTACAAACGTAACAGCTGGCTTTTATTTGTTCTCTATCTCCATATATCCTCACTCTTTTTATTTTACAAACAATTTATATAGTCACCCATCAAACCGTCAAAAATCAATTACACCCATCAATTCTGTATAAAGTTCATTACTGGTTTGTTGTTATTCGTCTAGTTTCACTTGTCTATTGTAAGGCTGTAAAGTTTCATGGGTTCATAGCTTCATAATAAGAAAGGTGATTTCACATTTGTTCACCCATCGTTTACTATTGTAGTATTAGTATTTCAACCGGTAATAAATGTGTTTTGTTCTCGTAACACTTTTTTATATGTTATTTCTGTTTTAGTATAGAAACCGCTCGTCAGGAAGTCATTGCTCGTTTGCCAAATCTTAAAATGTTAGACCGTGTTGAAATTACTCCTGAAGAGCGCCGCGGATCTGAATTGGACTACTTAAAACGTTACGGAGCTAGCTGGCTAAACTGTTATAAAAGTGATCAAAATAGTAAGCAAAATAACGATGTTAAACTTTTGGAGGAATTCTACAAACTGCATCCTGTTTTCGCCAGACTTTGTGATAAACATGGAGCTCCTGAAATTGGAGAAACCAAGGTAGGATGTTATTATTTTTGACTTGTTCCCAGATTGTTTTCTCTATGTGACAAAATAACTAAGTTGACCGCACAAAAATTAAGTGTGGGGGATAAATAAGGAAAATGAACTAGGCTAACTAGTTCAAAGATCATCGTCGTCCAAAATAGGGGGAGATCAATGAAATATAGGATAATTTAGAAGCTTCAATAAACAACCAAACCGTTTAATTGTTCTGAGGTGTTTATGATAGTATCGAAATTCTATTTAGTGCCGAATTAAGTTGCAAGAAAATATGTTATTTCGCTTAGAATAAGGATGTAAATTCAAGGACATATGCAACTTTTATTCTTAAGTAATAATTCAGCTGTTTAAAATAACTCAATGATGAATTACTTTCGATGTGTTTAAATTTAAAAGTTCTTCACTTCCCAGAGTAATGTATTTTTGTGGGAATTGTAAATCTTTTGCTTAAATATAAACTAAATCAGAATGGGTTTTGTGGAGAGTTTTAGAAATTTCACAGGTTGAAATCACGAGTCAGTTGAAGCTAGACCACCATTGAAAACCTGGAAGCACTGGACGGCCGTTTCGTCCTGGTATGGGACTCCTCAGCAGTGCGCATCCACGATCCCGCAACACGCGGGGCTCGAACCCAGGACCTACTGGCTTCGCGCGCGAGTTCTAGTGAGTAGCCGTTACCAGTGGAGTTCAACAGGCCTGTTGTGAGATAACAACTCACTGAAGACAATGGTGTACGGTGGCGCAACTTCGTGGATTGGTTTAAGATAGTCATTAACACCGTTGGATGCCGGCTCAGTGGTCTAGTGGTTGGGTGCTCGCGCGCGAAGCCAGTAGGTCCTGAGTTCGAGCCCCGCGTGGTGCGGGATCGTGGATGCGCACTGCTGAGGAGTCCCATACCAGGACGAAACGGCCGTCCAGTGCTTCCAGGTTTTCAATGGTGGTCTAGCTTCAACTGACTCATGATTTCAAAAAACTGTGAAATTTCTAAAACTCTCCACAAAACCCATTCTGATAATAATCAACTGCTCATTAGTGACTGACTTCAAGAAAAACTCCTGGAGTTCTAGTGAGAAGCCGTTACCAGTGGAGTTCAACCGGTCTGTTGTGAGATAACAACTCACTGAAGACAATGGTGTACGGTGGCGCAACTTCGTGGATTGGTTTAAGATAGTCATTAACACCGTTGGATGCCGGCTCAGTGGTCTAGTGGTTGGGTGCTCGCGCGCGAAGCCAGTAGGTCCTGAGTTCGAGCCCCGCGTGGTGCGGGATCGTGGATGCGCACTGCTGAGGAGTCCCATACCAGGACGAAACGGCCGTCCAGTGCTTCCAGGTTTTCAATGGTGGTCTAGCTTCAACTGACCCATGATTTCAACCTATAAACTAAATATCTAACACTGTTTAGTTATTTGATTACAGCATTGGTTTCAGAAGTTCCCGTTTGACTAAGCGCATAATCAGTTTTCATTTCAAGCTACGTCACACACCTTATCTACTGAAATAACTTATCGATGATTTCATCACAAGACGTTTTCTATTAGAATATTTTAGCGACTATATGTTTTCTTTTTAATTTCCTTCCAAATCTCTTAGATATTTTTTCACTCAATGGGTACTTGAACCCCGCTCCACCTACTGAAAGCCGAAAGTAGATTCCAGGAACAACTAAGGTCATACTTCGGTAGTTCTAAAAACGAGGCTGACCTAGATGTTTCTTGAAAAGATATACAAACAGCAGTTACATCTATTAGTGATTTGAACCATGAGGTTACAAAAAACCAGTGGATTTATTGTAAGTCTGGTCACAGTCACTGATCGTCCTAATATATAAGAAAGGATCGAAATCATCCTGTAATAACCATAGAGAGATTAGTTTGACCAATATAGCATCCGAATGCTGGCCTCAATAAGTATCGGACGCCTAACTAAGACTCGTGAACTGCAAACACGAGAAAACCAGGCTAGCTTCAGACCTGGTCGTGACTGCATCGACCAAATATTCATCATTCGTCAGGTTCTAGAACACAGGCATGCTTATCGGCGTCCGACAATGGTGGTCTTTCTTGACTTAAAAGCAGCATTTGACCCTGTAGACCAAGAGATTCTGTAGCAGTATCTGTCATTGAAAAGTGCACCACAGAAATACATAAACATTATGAAGGCTCTTTACTCGAACACTACTAATCGAGTCAGAGGTTATGGCGAACTGTCATCTGATTTTGCAACCTCAAGTGGTGTCCGTCAAGGCTGTCCACTTTCTCCATTTTTGTTTAACTTCACCATAAACATGCTGATGGAAATAACGCTGGTGTACTGAATTTTCGGGCATTGATCTCCTACCGGGGGGTCCACTTATCGACTTAGAATACTCAGATGACATAGTCCTACTTGTTGAAGACGCTGATAAAATGCAGAGTCTTTTGGTAGCACTGAGCAACAATGCCAGAATGTTTGGAATGCGGTTCTCTCCCTCTAAATGCAAGTTGTTGCTTCAGGACTGGTCTGCGTTAACACCTGAACTAAGGATAGGGAGTGAAGTAGTCGAACGCGTTGACAACTTCACTTATGTTGGAAGTCTGATCAGCGCTAATGGGTTGGTGTCAGATGAAATCTCAGCACCCATTCGAAAAGCTCGTTTGGCTTTCGCTAACTTACGTCACCTATAGCGTAGGCGAGATATCCGTCTATCAATTAAGGGGGAATATACTGCGCAACAGTTCGTTCTATTCTACATTACGGCTGCGAAATGTGACCATTAAGAATAGAAGATACTCATGAGCTACTAGTTGGGGGCGGCCAAATCGAAACGTGGCACCGGTCCATAAAGTCACTAAATTCTAGTCTGAGTCATGATGGTAGATGCGGACTACTTGGTTGGGGTCCGCGTGACTATCATAACCAATGGTTGGAGACTGTGGGTGACATGGCTCAGAATCGATCACAATGGCGTGGGTGTATACACTCTTTGTCTTCCTTTAAACCGTGAGATTAAAATCGCTTTATACGTTTCTTTCTACGAAGTAATTCTTTCTTCCTGTACTGTATCCCTTATACACAATCTTTCTTTTATATATTATTACCATTGAATTAACTACTTCTATGAATTTGTTGTTCACCTTGTTGTGCTAATGAGGTGTGGCAACTTGGACCGATGCACATACGTGCCTGGTTCTACGTTGTATGTGACTGAATGACCGTTTCACTTACTTCGGTTTGATTAATAGGATAGTATCATTAGCACTAAAAATATTCGGCATTGTTTTCTGTGTATTATTTAATCTTGTGTTAATTTAATTCGTTTTGTCGTTTACTCTGAAGAAGCGACTTACATTGTCACGAACCGTCGGAAATACAATATTTCTGCTCGTTGGGCCACAACAGCAAAAATATTGTGAATTTCCTACCCAAAGCTCACTTTATTTCAAACTATCAAGTCCAACCTTGATGTTGATACATACATCAATGTCTCTGTACCTTTCTCTAGTTTCTATTGTTATCAGCCTTCAGACAATCTAAATTAATCTATTTTTATTATGATTTCCTGATTAAAGTTCTTTTTATTGCTACATCAGTATTTCCGAGGTTGGTTTTGTAGAGAAAACTGTCAATATTCCTGCATTATTGCACACAGTAAACACTATATAATTGTAATTTATTATAAACGTGTCCTTATTTCTCTATGGATTTGAACTGTGTCAAAGTAACTGAGCTGGAACACTTTCAATAACAGAGATCACTCATGAAAAAGTATGAACCAACCACTTGATTCATCTGTAATTGTTGTCCAAGTGTATCTACCTGAATCTAATTGTTAGTCTGGTTATAGATATCAACCTCTGAGAGCAATATTAAGGTCATAAATGAGCAATAAGATTTGATCGCTTTATTTTTTGTCAAATCTCTGTTATCTTTGTTGTTTACATATCTATTTATCTAATTTTTAGCCAGTTAACCGCTCAATCAAAGCTGGTCTTCTATCTCTTATCTTTATATTACAACATAACAAGAACAATGGCGCAACAAACAAGTCTAGCAGTCGATCATCATCGCCAATGGATAAAAAGGATCGAATTCAAAAACAAATACCTAGTCAAATGACTATTAACCATTTACGTATGATGATTAGACGATTGTTTTGTTTATCACCAAAAACACTGTTTGAATTATATGCACAAAGTGGAAGGCATCGTGGTATTGTTAACACTGAAATACCGTTGGATGTAGATACACGTGAAATAGGATTTTATAATTTAGAAAATGACGATTATATTTTTATACGAATATGACAATAGTGACTACGTTGTGTTCTAGTCTTTCCTTCCTTGTATTTACTACTTGGTTATCTCTTTAGTATTTATCTATGTTGTATAATATATATATCTTGATATTCGTAAAATCAAGCTTTTATTTAATTATTTCCTATCCACCTACACTTTTATGAGTTCTGTTGTGTACATGACACATTGTTCCATCAACCAAGAAAGTGTAATTATGCGTAGACTTGAGATATTTTCTTTAAATTGACTGCTTGAGGCTACCAATTTTATCAAAGTTTGCCTTGAGCTTAGACTGGAATAATGTTGTTCAAGTAAACAACCTTCATGAGGTTTATGTATTTTTGTGATACGCCTTTCACTAAATAGCACTATCAAAAGAATTTCCAGACGTTCTTAATCATCCCTCTGTTTCAGAGCACAGTCTAACGTAATCAATTGACGTATATCTGCTCGTCCATTTTTGAAATCAGTTTGATTTTCCCGAGTTTGCTGTTCAGGAACTTTATTTGAGATTTTGGTGATTTCAGACACTACTTTATTCAACTTGATTGTTCTGGCTACCGCGAGAGAATATCTTTCCTCTCTCTTAGATTGGGATCGGTCAGATGGGACTATGCGCAGCTGTCAGATTCTAACTAACTTCTAAAACTAAACAGCCATTCTTAAATACCTTAAGTTAACGTATAAAATCTTTTCCGCTCTTCACTTCTAGTTAGCTTTTGCCTCTTTAAGTTTAGTAATAGTCGGAGGCTCATATATATTGTCTGTTTGCTCTACTAAAAATTACATTATATTTTATGCATTGCTACCAATCTCGAACCTAATTCTGCTGTGTTTCGCAACACTTGCTTAAATATGTATTAACATAATTGAGCAGCTAACTCGCACAGTACTTTATATTTTAAGTATGTTGTATAGTCTAATTGTTAGTTTACCTGACTGTAAATTTATATATTTAGGCAAGACCGGAAACAGTAATGTTCCAAACTAATTTCTCTCACTTGAAGTTGCTTGTTACTTAATGTATGCATTATTTATTTTATTCATGGATGTCACCTCTGATGCATATGTTTATTCACTGCAAAATCTAACACTAATTTTCAAACGTCAATTCATCTTAATAATTGGTGAGACTATAGTTTATGGACGACCTTTGAGCGACGCCAAAGTGACCTTGAGATTGTCTACCTACTTACTAGGGCTAAATAAGGGTTATAAAGCTGTTTGAAGAATAAGGATTATGATTCACAGTTGAGGGTTAGGAATTAGATTTAGGGTTTTCACGAATTGACATCAGCTATAATGCCAAGACTATTTAGCCATATCGGTGAATGAGTTTCGCGCCAAAATCTAAGACCTGTTATCGCAAATCTGATTGGTTCGTCCATAAGTCATAGCCTCATTAATTAAAGAGTTTCCAAACTAATGCATCTAATAGTTTTATTTACATGGCAAATGGTTCAAATCCTTGCCTCTTTGTTTTAGTAATATGTTCGTTCAATAATCTTAAAAATATCGTCAAACTAAGTGTTCATCAGTTGTGTCTTAAATGTAATCACTTTTCACAACAAATAGTTTTATTTAATGTATCAATTTATTAGTTAATTCTGTTCAGCTTCATATTGACTTAATTAAAGCAATCTACTTGTGAATTGTGTATCATCAGAACTTACCATATAGGCTTTTTTATTCATATTTGATTTCATCTTCGTAGGTTTAGTAGCATATTGTTAGTCTTTTAATTCCGTTGATTATAATCAGAGAGACATTCAAGATGACTCGTGCACCATTCAAACTGGCTGCCTTCAACGTTCGCACACTTATGCAGGTCGGACAACAGGTAGGTCTGGCTATGTATTTGAAAAGTCTTAATATCGACGTTTGTTGTCTATCCGAGACCCGTATTCAAGACTCTGGTGAAGTACTACAAATTTGCTCCCCATCTGTCGCTTCAAAAACCTTGTTTTACATGCGTTTATCCGGGGACTTTGTGACATCGTCTGGTCTTGCTGGCGTTGGTGTCGCACTAAGCGCTAGAGCTGAGGCAGCACTAATCGATTGAATCCCCATTAATAGTCGGTTATGTGCTGTTAGATTACAAAGTTCCATCAAAGTGAGAAGAAATCGGCGTGAGAAACAATGTCTTTTCGTCATCTCCGCCTATGCCCCGACAGATTGCAGCCCGGATGCAATCAAGGATGAGTTTTACCACCAGTTATCTGTTCTCCAGAAAGTGCGTTCCACAGATATTATAGTATTAGCCGGAGACTTGAGTGCTCAGGCCGGCTTCTAGGCACAGAAGAGAGTCGTTTAGGTGGCCGATGGGGACTCGTTGGTCGCAGGTCAGATAACGGGGACCGTCTACTGCAACTATGCACAAACCACAACCAGTTTCTGGCTAGCACTAAGTTTCGGCACAGTCATCGCCGATGTGCCACCTGGCGTCCTCCCTCTGCATCTCAAGCCTGGACTCAGATTGATCACATCGTGATCAGCTACCGCTGGCGTGGTTGTGCATAAGACTGCCGCTCCTTTTGGAGTACCTATCTGGACTCTGATCATGCCCTGGTCTGTCCCAATCTTACCTTACTTTTTAGTGGCCAATGAAGTGATCGTCACCAAAGGATCTATGTCAGCAAGTTGGTTGCAAGTAAGTATCGAACCGAGCTAGCTACCATTCCACTGAGAGGTATAGATGAGCATTGGTTGCAACTGCATGACGCCATGAAAATGGTGAGTAAAGCCGCTTGTAGCTTCGAGAAACATCCCGCTTATAAGCACTGGGTTTCTTCTGGTTCCTTACATCTCATTGAAGCCCGTCGCTCTACTCCGGGTGACCGTGAGTTTGACCACAAACGACTGTTACGTAATGAAATTGACCGAAGCTTGCGTAAGGACCGAGAAGCCTGGTGGTCGGAGCTGGAAGCAGCAGCTGCATCTGGTAACTGCCGGAAGCTCTTCCAACTCATCCGAGTCACCAACAGCAAGAAGTCTGGTGTGAGCGAAACAATCTACGAGGATGACGGTATGCCAATCACTAACATCCATCGACGTCTTGGAAGATGGGCAGAATTTTTCGAAGGGCACTTCAACTGGCCTGTTGCTCCGGCAACATCGGTCAGACTGTCCTGCCCTCCATGGCCGGTGACGACTGATTCACCAAACGAGGCGGAAGTCCTCAAGGAACTCCAACTCTTGAAGCGTTACAAATCACCTGGCCCAGATGACTTACCTCCGGTTCTTTTTAAAGATGGTGGTGACTTTCTGACTAAGGAACTGACAACGTTGTTTACAAAGGTGTGAGAGCTAGAGAGAGTACCAACGTCATGGAATGAGTCGATACTTGTCCCTATCTTTAATAAGAGTTCACGTCGTTCCTGTAACAACTATCGGGGGATAAATCTACTCCCGATCGCGTCCAAGTTATTGGCTTCTGTCATACTTCGTAGGTTGTTCAAAACCCGAGAAAGATTGACTCGCGAAGAGCAGGCTGGTTTTCGTTCCGGTCGAGGATGGAATCGATCATATCTTCACCCTCCGCCAAATGTTAGAACACCGCTATACTTATCAAAGTCCAACAATCGTAGTGTTTCTTGACACTAGGGCCGCCTTCGATTTGTTGAATAGGACTGTTCTCTGGATTGTCTATTGAAGAAGGGTGTGTCTGGGAAGTTTATCTTAAAGGCCCTATATACAGACACTTCAGTCAGATTGAGGGCATGCAACCACCTCTCTCCATCGTTCCGTTCAAGCAGTGGGGGCAGGCAGGGTTGCCAAATCTCACCATTCCCCTTCAACTTTGCCATCGATGATGTTCTGGAAACAGCTCTGATAGATGTAGGTAGTGGTAGTGTGGATCTGTTGCCTGGAGAAAGACTTCTTGACCTTGAGTATGCGGATCATATTGTCTTACTGTGCGATAATGCCCAAGCCATGCAATCCGCAATTAATCAGTTGGCAATCAATGTCCGTAGGTTTGGTATGTGGTTTGCACTTTCGAAGTGCAAAGTACTTCTACAAGACTGATAGGATTCTAATCCTGTACTCACTCTGGATGGTGAGCAGATAGAAGTAGTTGAGAAGTTCGTGTATCTGGGTAGCTGCATAAGTGCTGGTGGTGGCGTGAGTGATGAGATCAACGCACGTATAGTGAAAACCAGAGAGGCTTATGCCAATCTGGGCCATCTTTGGCGCCTTCGTGATGTTAGTCTGGCTGTAAAAGGTCGGATCTACAACACGTCGATGAGAGCAGTTCTGCTCTATGCTTGTGAAACCTGGCCTCTCCGAGTTAAGGATGTTAGACGACTCTGTGTTCCATCATCGTTGTCTCCGAAGGATTACTGACATCCATTGGCAACACCATGTTAGTAATGCAGAGGTTCGGTATCGTGTGTTCGGTCACAGAGATGATAATTCAATTGGTGTCACGATCTTGATACACCGACTTCAGTGGCTTGGACATTTTCTCCGAATGTCGTCCCAGAGAATTCCACGTCGTGCATTATTTGCCGACTCTGGGACTGGTTGGAAAAAGCGGAGAGGTGGTCAGCGTATGACATGGTGTCAGGGTATGAAAGAAAGCTGCAAAGGACTGGCTTGTGTTGGTCCTTCACGACTCCCTGGCTGGGGTCCGAGAGATGGTGCAACACAGTGGCTAGAAACGTTATCAGATATGGCTCAGAATAGAAGCCTGTGGCGATCGTGCTGTATCCTTCTTTTACTTTCTTCATAAAAAAGGCTGTGTCTTCCTTAACTGAAAGATTTCTTCTGCTTGTACCTTTCAGTTTCCCCCATTATTACTATTGTTATTATTATTATTACACCACCTTACACTAATCTATTCGTTATTGTTCTTTTTTTTCTCTTCGAATTCTCATTGTTTTGTGTGGCGCATATATATTTGGTGCCCTCTTGTACCAATATTTATGTGTTCAAATAAATAAGTACCAGTGTTCATTCCTTACTTCTCCGGGGATTTATTTCGAAACAGTAACTGAAATTTCATAATTTGTCCATTCTCTGATTAGGCGTGATAGTTTTCTCTGTTTTACCCGGACTAATTCTAAACAGCATAGCATCTTCCCAAGAACCAAGTCATTCATTACATATCAGTTGTTAACTAAATTGATAGTTTTAATAAATGAATAATATCGCTTGTCATTAAGTGAAGTCACTTTAATGATTATTGAAAGC